TACCTATAACATGGTCTATGGTCTATAATGCCTATATAATATAGTGCACATTTCAATACACCATAATTTTATTGTTTCACATAATTTATAATATTCTCTGTAGCGCTCTATTTCTCGACCCGACCGTTTGATCGTTGTGATTTTGTTAGTTGAAATATTTTTCCGTCTCATTAATGAATGTACCTACTTTTATTTATTCCAACACTACAGATATTTTTCACAATTTTTAAGATGGTGATTTTCTAAATCATTAGATCCTACTCTATAAATTAAATATTACACTACACTTTTCCGCAACGAAATATGTGCAATTAACGCCGTGTCGTCTCGTACAATTATTTGCGCGATTGAGCGCATGGTTTCTTCCGCATTCCCGACTCGACCGGCTCTAATAAGGTGCGAGGTAAATGGTAAAACGAGCGTGCGCCCTCGACCCCGGTGTATATACCTGCAGGCTGCAGCTACGTGTAATTGCTGTATCCATCACTGCGATCGTCCTTATTATATTCTGCCCATCGTACCTAGTAGAGCCAGTACTCTGGGCCAAATGCCTTCCGGGGACTTATTGCGCGACGGAGGACCGAACGTCATATTATTATTATCATACATAGTAGGTAGGTAGTGAGGTTTTTATACACATTCCTGCTTGTGCAAACAAACGTGTAAATAAATACATATTATATATAGGTACGCCCGCGATTGGACGGGCGCCGCGCAATGACGCTTAAAATACATATACGTTCGACATTATAATATCCATACCCGTTACACGTGTATCGGCAGACATAAATAACGTTGCACGTCAAATTGTATATTATATGCACGATATAATAAAATAATATTTTAAACTTTTGCGATTTCGCTAGTGTCGGATAAGTATACATATTGACAGAACGCGGAACGTGTGACTCGGTGACTTTAACGCGTGGTCGGCGGTGTAGTTGTTAAATATTGAACGTTTATATACAGGTAGGCAAAGGAACCCACCGTTTTAAATTATAGAATACAACTACTGCGGCTTAAAGAAAAAGTTGTAATAATTACTGTAATTTGTGTTAAATTTTTTTTTATATATTTATAACAATTTTAAAATCAAATTATTTTGTTGAAATGTCATTAATGTACCTATACCTATCTATTTTAAATTTTAAATTAGAAGAGGGCCAAATGACATTCAGTTTTGGATCTTAACTAGAGTTTGATGACTGCCTACAATGATTTTATAATTTTCTATTGCCATGGTATATAAAATTAAATATATTTCTGATGTTTTGTGATTATATAATTATATATATGTCTTAGAAATAATAATATACCAATAAGGTATGAGCTATTAGTATCAAAATATAATGCTTAATATGAAAATCATAAATGTAATGATATAAAAAACCGATAAATGAGAACTAATATTGGGTATCATTTAATAAAACTATAATATTAGTGAGACCCTGCAAATGTGCTTCTCATGGCAATGTATACGAAAATTCACCAATATTTGACATTTTTGTCACGCGGTAACATTGGAAAAACTATAAAAATTCACATGGCGCTCAACCCGTTAAATGCATTAAACAATATTTTTGTTTTCATTTATATTAATATACTATTTGCTACATAAAATATATATGTAATACGTCATATAAACGGTCAATATATTTTTAATTTTGGTTTATTAAATATGTGCACGTCATACTATAAGTATATCTACGTATAGGAATGCTAAGAAAAAAATGTAATTTATATTATTTGTCATGCACTATCGAATCAAATATTATAGATTATAATCTACACAATTTATCGCAAATTAAATTATTATATTAAAAATATTAAATACTAACAGGTTAGGAGAGTTTTAGATTCTGAGTGAAACGATGAGTGTATTGACTTTACAATGATGTGTGTTTTTTTTTTTTTAATTTTTTTTAATTTTTATATTTATTTTTTTTGTGTCTGTGTACACGATAAGTAGTCGAAATAATGCTTCGATTTTCGACTTCAGTATCTTGTTCGATTGGAAAGTGAATATCGTTGGTGCATTGGGGAGGTCAAAATTTAAATTTCCCAGTAGTTTTCAAGAGCGCCGGGAAAAACAACATAAAAATTAAGGAAAAACGGGAATTTTTACGCAAAATCGGTTTTCCAAAAAATCGATTCTGGTTTTTGGTGTAACTTTAAAACAAATGACCGTAGATACATGACATTTTCACTGGTTGTTTATATTTGCATTTTCTATACACGATAACATTTTCAAAATATTTTGATTTATTTTGAACTGTTTAGGGACATTTTCATTTTCCATTTTTTTTAGTTTTTTTTCTAAAAATATCAATAAAATTTTATTTGTTGGTTGCGAAAGCTTGAAAATTTAATAGAAGGCTCCTAATATGTTGTTTCAAAGGCAGATGAAAAATATTAAAAATCCTTAGTCACAATTTTTTTTTATAAGCATTTAAAGTTCAAAAATTGACAAAATATGGAAAAATCACGAAAATTAGCAAATTATTTTGAGTTAAGAATTCGTAAAAATTTTTCTTTTTAAATCTAAGATTTGAAAATCTAATACAAGATTACTCATAAGATTGTCTACCTTTATCAATAAAAAAATTTCTACCGGAAAGTCAAATTAAATTTTTATGAGCGTTTGAAATTCAAATTTTTACAACATTGGATATTCACTCGATTTCTCATGTGGCAATTTCCTTTTTTTGTTGTAATTAAAAAACGAATTACTGTAGATACATGAAAATTTCACTGAATGTTTATATTAGCATTTCCTATACACCCTACAATTTTGAAAATATTTTGACACTTTTTGAGCCGTTTACGGACATTTTCAGTTTTCAATATTTTTAGTTTTTTTTTCTATAAATATCAATTAAGTTTTATCTGTTGGGCCAAAAAGTGTAAAAATTTAATACAAGGCTCCTGATATATTGTTACAATATCAGTTGAAAAATATTAAAAATACATAGGCACAATTTTTTTTTATAAGCATTTTAACATCGAATTTTGATAGAATTTTTCAAAATCTCGAAAATTATTAATCATCGTAATTAATAAATTATAAAATGTTCAGTTTTTATAGCTAAGGATTGAAAATTTAAAACAAGATTCCACGTAAGTAGTTAATTCTCTTACCGAAAAATCTAAAAAATATACAATCACAGTTTATTTTTATAGTCATTTTATGTTCAAATTTGGACGAAATTACATATTAAAAAACCTAGTTATTTTGTTGTGATTATATAATATTATTCGTGGGTACCTACTTGAAACTTCTAAAGTGTACTATTATATATATATGATAGTATCAGGGTTTGTTGTTGGTGTATAACGTGTTATAAGTACCTAATGGATATTGTGATATGATTAATTTGGAATTTATTTTAGGTCAATTTTTTGTTTAATACCATAGATATGTATATAATTTGTCTTAAACCTAGACTAACATACCGTCTTCGCTCAGAATCGTTTTTCTTATACAATGATATTGTATCATTGAATTCAAATTTGAAAGCATCCATTATACAGTGACCCACTTGTAACCTACTGTACAGCAGAGCGACATCCACTTACCCACCTTTTTTTTGTTTGTAATTTTTTTTTTACGAGTTGTTGTAACCTAACCTATGGTGGATTAATATAATCAATTAATACAAAATCCTAACCTAACCGTACTAATATCAGATGAATAAAAAAAAACCAAATTGAAACATGTTTAAATGTTTAAATTATAGCCTGTCTTCTTCCCAGAGGTCTATCCAGCGCTGGATAGAGACTTTTCGGCCCACAGAGATTTTAAATTTCTACCGGCCCTCAACAAAGTATCGGCCCTTTGGACAAAAAATGTTTTATGTTCACACTTTTAGTATGTGTGCTTTAATTAATAATCGTTTCTCTAAAACACATTTACAAATTATCTAATAGGTACATAACATTAAGCTCGATATTAAGTTACTTAGTATGCTTCAGTTATATAATATATTATTAAAAAAACGCAAAATATAACTTTAAGCTAGATCGCCTAGATATATGCGCAATTTGTACACATTTTATTTTATACTCATCAGTCATCACTGATGAGTCATGACCAAGTATGAGTAGTACGACAATTTTTATAGCTAGGTACAAGTTTAAAATTGTATTTGTTTTTCACGTGGCGTGTTTTTGTAATTTGTTACAACGCGGCGTTATTCACGTGCGTGAAAGCGCTACGCCGACGAGCCATTGCTTTAAGACGTGTTTTAACTTGCGTTGTACGTTCTGTTTGACAGAGCCTTTAAATTATGTGAGAATAATATCATTGATAATATATGTATAAAACTAACCAATGGCGATATAAATTATGACATTGTTTTTTCTTAGCTATAGTAAATGTTTTTAAAGCTATGCGTGGCCAATGCTATAATTTTCAAACGCAAAAAGTATCGCAGGACTGTATTATTTGATGGCTCACAAGTCACAACCAAGTTCGGTTACCTGGTCCTACCCACCTCACCTAGAGATATTAATCCGAGCTTCGATCAGAGTCCTCTATTCCCGTACAAACCACCACCGGCCTTCGGGGGAAAACACGTTTACAAAATTGTCCACAAGCCAATCCCGACGACTCGAGCCCGCGAAAATACCTACCTACTCGAAAATGCAGGTAGCATAGCCGGAAATCCATTTTCAACAAATTCCATTCCAACTCACCCACCCCCCCCCCCCCCTAAATAATAAAATAACTTTTAGGTTTATACTTGAGTGATATAAGTAAAAAATAAGAAATTAATAAATAAATGTTGTACCTATAACATATGTTAAAAAATTAATATACATTCAGATTTATAAAAATAACAGACATCTTGTTGCCAAGTGTATAAGTGTTTGGAAAATCAATAATTCGTATATATATATTATAATAAATCACGAATAATTGCTAATCCGTAGTTAAAATCGAACTTTTGTAAAATATATTAATAATTATTCTGCTTACATAATCAAAATAATATATCAATATGTCAATTAATATTGCCGCTCAAGAGCAGACGTCGTCAGACAGCAAATTGGTATCCGAGACTGAAAAGATGCAGATGATTTTTAACGAACTTAGGTCGAATAGACCAAGATCGCTAGACAGCTGCGATTTCCGTAGATTCAAGCTGCACAAAAGATTTATTTCTCTACCAAATATGGACTTGAGTAAAAATTCCACGGAAGGAGCATCTACAAAGGACGGTTGGAAATCCGCACCCAACTTGATGTTCCTGGAGCAGCTCAAGGGAATGGATGTGCGTGAAAATTCCTCTGGCGATGTTCCAGAAATTGTATTGCCGTCCACGGAGTTGCCCGTTTCGATGTACCTACGTCGAAAAAAACCAAAAACACTGCGATAATATGGAAAGAATGATATGTGCAACATTGATCTGATCTCCGTGGTTTTGCATTTCTCCAAATTGCTTAATAATTATTAAATTTATATTTTTCTCTCGTTTGTTCTGTTTTAGAATATGGTTTGTCATTTAGATTTTTCGTTTATCTTGCTCAGTGGCGTTCATTCAGCTTGTATTGTTATTAATATTATGTATTTATCACATATCGAACACAGGTCGAAAAACACTGACCTATGTAATGAATTTTACAATTTATAATATAAAAATATGATTCTATGGCTTAAACCACTTACCTAATACCTTGCTATTTTTTATTTTAGTTTGTTTACATTTTACCTACATTACGCTTGTTCATTTCCTATAGTGTATAGGTTAGGGCTGGCGGTATTTCAAATGTTAATACCGGTATCCGGTATTTGTTTATTATTACCGGTCTCTACGGTATTACCGGTTATACAGTAATTACTGAAAATATCGTACCCCAGAAAATTCGTTAGTGATTCCAAAATTCCAACCTAGGATAGAGCTATTAAATTATGTCATTACGATTACCCATATAAAAATAATAAATAATAAAAGTATATAATATACGGTATTTTCTGTAATTACCGATTCACGGTATACTGGTATTCTAGAATACCAAAAATACGACGACGATACGACGCATATGGTACGGTACAACAAACAGTTCTTACCAATATAATATTATAATTGTTTACATTTACCCAAAACGATATGACATCGTAATATTGTTATAATATAATGACGAAATTCGTTTACGTCAACTAAGTTGAGCTCGGCACCACATTGTTACAATCACTTAGCCATGCGATTCATATTATCATGGTTTTAAATATAGCCTGAACCATTCTGCAATGCCAATTATATGCATCGCCATTTGCCGTTGTATTTATGTCAATAATTAATAATGTAGCAAACATAGATAGAAATCATGGGAATTCGACCTAGTTCCTTTGTCGATTTCGTCTAACATTGCGAGAGAGCCATTTTCACATTATAAACTTGACAATACAAACATTTTGTAAAATGCATTAATTCAGTGATTGAATTTTAATAATATCCTTGTATTGTTTTCACTCAGTTATACGATTTTAGATGCCAAGTTGGCAAAAAAAAATAATCAAAAACTAATTTTGTCGGTTTTTTTTTTTTAAAGTCATATTGATTCCAGTTAATAATAAAATATAAATTAATGCCATGGGCATGATGAGGGTATTTTTAACGAAATTAATTATACAGTTTGCACTTTTACGCAGATTTTTTGTACGGCTCTCAGATAAACAATTTTACCAGAGACAGAAATCTTGGGCATAAATGCAGTTTAGCTCCCAAGCGATTTTTTGGAATTTTTTTTTTTCAAAATGTGTGTTTTCGCATGCCTAATTTGATGGTACTTTCAAAAAAGGCCGGTCGAACTTATTTTGGAAGTTATGGTAAAAAAACTTCAAAATGCTCAATTTTTTCAAAAATCGTGTTTTTGAATTTAAAATACCAAAAATTTAAGTTTTTAGAATTTTTTTTTTTAGAAATGTTTGTATTTATATGCTCAACATTTTGTTGGAATCAGAATTTGCCTATCGTACTTACTTTTTATGTTATTGTTAATAAACCACATAAAACTGAATTTTAAAGTTATTTCAAACATTTGCATATTTGAGAAACTCAAAATTGATTTTTTTTTACTATTTTTTTTTCATTCGATGAGTAATAACATAAATAAGTTTTTGGTGAAATCAGAACTAACTTTTATTTTTTGGTTCGGAAGATAGATTAAAATAATAAGCAACAAAAAATCAAAATTTACAGGTAAAATGTATTTTATTCATAAATATAATATATTCAATATTCTATTTGAGACAACATAAAATACCTGCATCTATTCGGGTCAGAATATGATTTTGCACACGTATAATATGGTTTACCTATATGTATACCTGATTTGGCGACACGCAATGACGCCTGTGTATGACAGTTACATAAGTGGTAATCTTCTGCCATGTATTTAAAGTACCGACATCTTGAGGGGTCCGTGTAATTTTTTTGGCATACAACAAATTGTGTTGTACTATTTTCCAAAAAAGAATTTGGCTTGTCACGTATAGAAACAGGTAATCCACAATGACAAACATATAAACTTCCATCGAACGTCCAACGATTCATCATGTGTTCGGGTGTGTGCAGTACCTATAGCTAAGTAAAGTACCGCCACATTGGTAATATAATTTAATCATTATTACACAAACATTGCAGAAATTGTACGATTTCATTTAATTATAGTATGCGGCGCTATCTAAATTCATTAATCAGTCTACTAATCACATTTCTTTCTTCAATTCTAAATACACTCGTCGTCAAAGGCACTATCTCTCCATAATTACTTTCGTCCAATACCTATATCCTCATTATAATAATCAGATCCATTTTCAGATTCTAACTGACTAAATATATCAGTTTTAATTAATGTTTATATTATTTAGGTATAATATCCTATTACTGTAATGATGATTAAGTTGAGCTATAATAGTTTCATGATTGTAACTAATAATAATAATACTAAAAAAAGAAGACCACGATTAAAGATTACTTATAATAGGTACCTATATATTATCGAGTTACTTCGCAGTCGTTGTTGTAGTTGCGAACTTGCGTCGAACTTGTGTCTTGTGTACTATACCGGTTACCTACCTAATAATACTGTTATAAACATGCCTCTCAATTTTATTGATATTTACGAGCTTTTTGAGCGAAAACGTCAAGGGGATGTTTCTATAGCAGTGCTTGAAAAATTGCAGTCTTGGACACTAATTGCCAAAAATAATACACTAAAATGTGATCACGGGCATTATCTTAAATTATGTTTGAGAGCAAATTGTCTGGACGGATATGTATGGACATGTCGAGAATATTCCACAAATTCAAGTCGAAAAAAAGTAAGTTCTAAAACTTCATTATTTGAAAATGCAGTTTTTCAGTTCCCAACAGTTTGACATTGTAATCGGTCTATTAATTTACCCATGCCTCCCCCCCCCCCCCATCGGGGGGTTTTTTTTTTTTTTTTTTTTGTATTACTTTTGGCCTCTTAAAAAATGTGGAGACATGCAAAAGCTTCGCTGTCTCAATACTCTAGGAAAAAACATTTCTATGGCGGCTACATGGCCAAATTTATGTTTTTAAAAAAATGCCGTATATTAAATCTAGAGTCTAGACCCTACTATTGAATTTTTCCGTTTAGCCGGTAATTTATACGATCAAAATAAATATAACAACGATGGGGTCGACGTTTCTGATGACGACGATACTGATATAGTATAATATACCTACATTATCTAAATCTGTACATTTTGATTTGTTATTGTTTATTATTTTTAACACGTTCAATGCAATTTTAAACTGGTATTTGACATAGGAAAAGTACCTCGGGTCGCCTTTGTTGACCGTACGTAATTTTGGCTCGGCGACGCGGGCTCTGCGCCGAAAACACTAGCGGAGCTCCACTTGTAAACAAATTTCTCCCAAACCAAAAAATATAAGTTGGTTCTGATTTCACCAAAAACTTATTTATGTTATTACTCATCGAATGAAAAAAAAATAGTAAAAAAAAATCAATTTTGAGTTTCTCAAATATGCAAATGTTTGAAATAACTTTAAAATTCAGTTTTATGTGGTTTATTAACAATAACATAAAAAGTAAGTACGATAGGCAAATTCTGATTCCAACAAAATGTTGAGCATATAAATACAAACATTTCTAAAAAAAAAAATTCTAAAAACTTAAATTTTTGGTATCTTAAATTCGAAAACACGATTTTTGAAAAAATTGAGCATTTTGAAGTTTTTTTACCATAACTTCCAAAATAAGTTCGACCGGCCTTTTTTGAAAGTACCATCAAATTAGGCATGCAAAAACACACATTTTGAAAAAAAAAAATTCCAAAAAATCGCTTGGGAGCTAAACTGCATTCGTTCCAAATCTTGAACTAAAAAAAAGTTAAGATAATTATTGTGATAATTAGTTGTTGTAAATTAATAACTCGTAATGAAAAATACAGGTAATAAATAATAATACCAACCCAATTACCTATGAATTAAATATAATCCACTGTGTTGGTAAAAATTAATTTCATTATATTTTGTTTTTCATAGATGAATTGTTGATTTCATTCGTCAATTTATCAATTTATGAATCATACAACTTTAATAGCGCGTATGTTCATGTTTAAGATTGTCATTTTCATTTTGTTTTCTGTCATCATTTTTTCTTCATGTGCATGCAACGGTGCGGTCCGCAGCTGCAGCCGTAATCAAATAAATTCTTATCATGTTTCCGTGTGCGAACGGCCAGCTGCGTGACCGTTATCAATTTATGTTTTCAAAAGTCATATTATTCGTTCAAAGTTTTTTCTCGTCAAGTCATGCTTTCAGTGTCACAAAGTTATTAGTTTTTTCATGTTTAATTGTTTTAGTGTGGTGACACTGAAAGCCCATTCGTACAGTTCTCGTTGCATTTTGTATGTCCGTTAATGTAAAACTCGTCCCTTTTTTCACACGACCTCCGAGGTGCACGGTTGTTCGGTGTTTTCACAATCAGTCGTCAGTATTTTAATTCATTTTTTAAAATAGAATTCATAGAGTCATAGACATTCAATTTCATTCTATACAATACATTCATCAATCATCATTCAGTTAATCATTTTGTGTACATCATCTGTGAATTGCCTTCTGTAAGTATCGTTCAGTCATTTGTTTTAGTTCATTCATTAATATTATTCCCCAATTCAGGGCGTTCAAAGAGATACTTACAGAAGCACGTGAATTTTTGCCATTTGTGATTTGCATGTACACTGTGATTTATTCGTCTGAGTTCTAAAGGTAATCAGCTGACGAGCTGCATATTATTATTTATTATATTAGTCATTCATATTCTAGTCAGAAACTTTGTATTATTATTATTTGTATTTGAATTATTGTATTATTGTTAAAAGCCAAGAGGCTACATATTATATTTATATCATACTTAATTATTAGAAACCTGCCTGGCAATTTATTATTTTATTTATTTAATTACAAGAAAAACAAATTATTATTATCATTGCTCAATAAAAAATTACAGAACTGCCAACACACATTGTTTTTTTTTATTTTATATTCTACAAGCATATATATATATGATTCAGTCGTGAAGGCACAACTTATTTCATATTAATAAGAGCTGACAGCGGCAACATTTTGGTGACCTCGACGTGATTTATTATTATTTGTATTATATATGCTTTGTGTGGCAGTTATTAAAGTTGATTAAAAACTTATAGTCAAACATTAATCTCTAGTTATTAATTTAAAAATTGTTCAGGTTGGTTTACATCATATTATTCATCAAGTAATTTGAAAATTGTCATTATTACATTTAAATATTTGATTTATTATTTGTGAACCATTATTATTAATATTTTTTGCTATCATAAGAACAAAATTGTTTCCACATATAGGTGATTTAATATTATATTCTAACATCAAGACATCACAACAACTCAAATTCATCTCAAGACATCATTCAACCTAACAACACCATGCCAACCAATCCAGATCCAAATGAGCTGCGCAAATGGAAGAGAAAGATTGATACACTATGTGCCATCATCGAAGACCATTTTGCTTTTGCTTCTCAATACACAAGTGAATCAAACAATATTTCCCAGGTCAAGGTAAGACTTGAGGAAATTAATGAATTTTCTGAGAAATTTGAAGAATATCAAGCTGAGTTAGAAATGTTAGATGAAAAAAAGGATTCTGAATGGATCAATGTTCGAAGATCATTCCGAAACCGATTGTGTGATGTTAAGGCTGCGTTACTCAAAATCATAGATGATCATGTTATCCATCCAGACAATGTATCTAGTCCATCAATGAGCTCAGCCAGATCTCAACAACATTTAAATACATTCAACTCTATGAGGTATCCACCATGTGCTCTTCCTACATTCAGTGGTGATTGGCAGCAGTGGTCATCCTTTATAGATACATTCAATTCAATGTTTCATAATGAGCATTCAAACTTACCGCTAGTTCAACGCTTTCATTACTTAAGGTCATGCCTTGCAGGGCAGGCTAGTGATGTTATCAAATCTATTCCTACTACTGCAGAACACTTTCAATATGCTTATGATCTGTTGGTAAATCGGTATGAAAACAAGAGTGCTATAATCCAGTCACACATTCGCTCACTACTCGAGACACCCAAGGTGGTCTCACCGTCTTGTAGTGAACTGCAAAAGCTGCATCATCATGTCACATCTAACATCAATGCCCTCAAGTCCTTGCAGCAACCAGTCGAACAGTGGGATGCATGGTTGGTCACTCTTTTATGTAGTAAAATGGATAGTGCTACAGTAGGGGAGTGGTATCTACAGTATAAGAGTAAAGATCTGCCTTCCTACGTGGCTGTAGAACAATTTCTAGCTAACAGAATAACAGCCTATGAGGCAGGGGATATGAATTGTCTGTCAAGTGAACCAAGAAAAATGTCAACAAAAAGTTCAAATAACAAAACATATGAAAAAAAGGCATTGTTTGTAAAATCTAAAGAAAAAGGTTTTGGCAAATGTCCGTTATGTACTGAGCATCACAAATTATATGCTTGCAGTAAATTCAACAACATGAGTACAAATGATAGAAGGAACTTTGTGATGAAATCAAGGCTTTGTTTCAACTGTCTCAACTTTGGCCATCAAGTTTCTTCTTGTTATTTTCCTCCATGTCCTCGTTGTGGGGAAAAGCACAATTCAAAGCTTCATGAGGAACAAGCAAACACCAATAATCAAGATGCTTCTATCGCCAATGATGTTGACAGCCCTGAACCCCATGCAACAGCTATGTACACTGAAATATCAGCTCAGGAAACTGAAAATCTAAATGTTATTTTAGCCACTGCCATTGTCAATGTATGCGACACTTTTGGGCGCATGCATTCATGCCGAGCTGTCCTGGACTCTGGTTCTCAACTAAATTTCATTACAAATTCTTGTGCTAAAAGGCTTAACTTGTCTACTGCTTCGCATACACTTAACATTGTTGGAGTCTCTGCTATGGCATCAACAGCCAAACAACTCCAAGATACGATTATGACCTCACGTTTTGGTGATTTCAAGACAACTATCAAGTTCTACTCTCTGCAGACTATAGTCAGTGCCTTGCCTTCTCAGGTGCTCATTCGGGACAACTTGAAAATGCCTCATAACATACTCAACCAGTTGGCAGATCCAAACTTCCATAGTCCTGGTCCTATAGATGTGTTATTAGGTGCTGATATATTCTTTGATGTACTTTATGGTGAAAAGTTTCCATTATCAAATTTAGCTTGCTTGCATCGTACCAAGTTGGGATGGATAGTAACAGGCAAAATCTCAACTTTGTCAACTCCTCATACATTACCAAACCTCATGATACAGAATCAATCTGCATTATCGTTCTTCACGTCAAAGACCAATCAACGTATTCTTGAAGAGTTCAAAGCCGAAGAGCATTTTCAATCAACTTTTCGTCGGCATTGCAGTGGGAGATTCATAGTGAAGCTACCAATGGCACAAGATCCCAAGGTGCTTGGTGATTCATTAGACATGGCTCAAAAAAGATTTTTAAATCTAGAGAGACGACTTCAAAAAGATAAAGTACTCACTGAACAGTACGATAAGTTCATTGCTGAATATATTGCCATGGGTCATATGGAATTAGCATCACCGGCCATTCATAAGCCTACGTATTACCTGCCACATCATCCAGTGTTTAAGACGGACAGCACCACTACAAAGATGCGCGTTGTATTTGATGGCTCTGCGGCATCCAAGTCAGGACTGTCACTGAATGACATTATGCTCAGGGGCCCGAAAATGCAACCAGATATTTTTAACATATTGTTGCGTTTTCGATTACATCGCATTGCTTTAACTGCTGATGTGGAAAAAATGTACCGACAGGTGCTAGTGTCCGATGAAGACTGTGATTTGCAGCGCATTGTATATCGTTCGCAACCTGAAGAACCACTAAGGCATTATAAACTCAAGACAGTCACATATGGAACAAAATCAGCCTCTTTCCTGGCTACACGCTGTCTCCATGAGCTTGGTGCGCTCATTGAATACACACCCATAGGCAGAATCATATGTCAGGATTTCTATGTAGATGACCTGATAAGTGGGGGTGACACTGATGAAGAATGTTTTGATATCCATAAACAAGTTCACTCAATCCTTGGTACTGCTGGATTTCCGTTGCGTAAATGGTGTTCAAGTTCGTCAACCCTCCTTAACAGCCTTCCACATAATCAGAAGGATCCAAACTTCATGATAAATCTTACTGAAACTGAGGTGTTGAGCGCGTTGGGACTTCTTTGGCAACCATCTATAGATAGCTTTCGGTTTGCAATGAAAAACTGGAATGCTCCTCAACACATAAGTAAGCGCACACTCCTATCAAATATAAATAGTGTCTATGATCCGCTTGGACTATTATCATCAGTGTTGATTAAAGGCAAGATTTTTATCCAGCAAGTATGGAGTCTTAAAGTAGGTTGGGATGACATTTTATCAGAAGAGATAAGATCAAAATGGTTAAAATTTTATTCAAGTTTGGTTGCACTCAATGGATTGATTATACCAAGACTAGCATTACTACCTGAGTCAGACAGTTATGAACTTCATGGTTTCTGCGATGCATCCCAACATGCCTACGGTGCTTGCATTTACATTCGATCCAGTAAGCAAGATGGTGATGCTGAAGTTAAATTGTTTACGGCTAGATCTCGGGTTGCGCCAATTAAAACCACCACTATTCCCCGTCTGGAGTTGTGTGGCGCGTTATTGCTGTCAGAGTTAGTAAACGAGATTAAAGATGAATTTTCAAATATAAACATTAAATTGTCTACAGAAAACATACACCTGTGGACAGATTCAACTATTGTTCTACCGTCAAAATCATTGATTACCAAGCTAATTTTTAATTATGAGCATATTCGGCTCATGCATGCAGGACCACAGGCATTGCTTGCCCACGTAACACTGAACTATTGGCCAATCCGGGGAAGACAGATTGCAGCACAAATCGTCCGAAAATGTGTAACCTGTTTCCGAGCGAGCCCTCAATTTACTCCACCATTAATGGCGCCTCTGCCCAGCGTACGCGTTACTATTGCTCGACCATTTGCCAATAGTGGAGTAGATCTGTGTGGCCCAATATTCGTTCGCAGTGGGCTGAGAAAGGTATCACCGACAAAAAGTTATATTTGTGTGTTTATCTGCATGGTTACTCGTGCCATCCATTTAGAATTAGTGTCATCACTGTCTACTGAAGATTTTTTGGCTGCACTATCTCGTTTTATGTCACGGAGAGGTCAATGTACGGACCTTCACAGCGACAACGGCACAAATTTTGTAGGTGCAGACCGTACACTCAAAACATATTTCAAGGCAACTGTAAACAGCAATAAAGTACATGATTTTCTTACTATGCGAGAAATTAAGTGGCACTTTATACCACCTGCTTCCCCACACTTTGGAGGGTTGTGGGAGAGTGCAGTCAAGTCAGCTAAAAAGCATCTTCTTCGAGTGTCGAAGGGAGTGTTGCTAACATTTGATGAAACCAGAACTTTACTATGTCAAATTGAAGCTGCATTAAACTCTCGGCCTCTATCTCCACTTTCATTAGATCCCAACGACTTCAATGCACTCACACCAGGGCACTTCTTAATTGGTGGTCCACTCATGCTACCACCTGAGCCCGATGTATCATCCATACCACAAAACCGCTTAAAACGATATTCACTTATGAGGCAGCAAATGCAGCTCTTCTGGAAGCGGTGGTCACAAGAATATTTGCCTCAACTCCACCGAAGAGGTAAATGGACCAAGCCGAATCGAAATTTTTGTGTTGGTGATCTTGCAGTCTTGCGTGACGACAACATGCCACCCTTTAAATGGCCATTAGTCCGCGTAGCAGCAGTTCATCCTGGGGCTGATGGTGTTGTTAGGGCAGTGACCGTGCGAAATTCCACTGGGTCTGAATTTCGACGTCCAGCAATCAAGTTATCCCTACTACCCACCGAAAAGGATCACGATGATGAAGATTAGGGATTTAAAAAAAAATGTTTTTCATTATTATTGTTACTATTTTATAAATTATGTTGTTATTATTTAGTTGGGCTGTGTTAGCCACATCTCTTAAAGATGAGTTATTTTTCATTAGTCATATTAGTATTATTCAAGATTCATGTTTAAAGAATGCATACTCCTCTGTCAGCTTCCGATTATTTAATTTGTTTAGTATATGATATGTAAATTTTGAAAGATAGGTACTTTCAAAGGGGGGAGTATGTTCATGTTTAAGATTGTCATTTTCATTTTGTTTTCTGTCATCATTTTTTCTTCATGTGCATGCAACGGTGCGGTCCGCAGCTGCAGCCGTAATCAAATAAATTCTTATCATGTTTCCGTGTGCGAACGGCCAGCTGCGTGACCGTTATCAATTTATGTTTTCAAAAGTCATATTATTCGTTCAAAGTTTTTTCTCGTCAAGTCATGCTTTCAGTGTCACAAAGTTATTAGTTTTTTCATGTTTAATTGTTTTAGTGTGGTGACACTGAAAGCCCATTCGTACAGTTCTCGTTGCATTTTGTATGTCCGTTAATGTAAAACTCGTCCCTTTTTTCACACGACCTCCGAGGTGCACGGTTGTTCGGTGTTTTCACAATCAGTCGTCAGTATTTTAATTCATTTTTTAAAATAGAATTCATAGAGTCATAGACATTCAATTTCATTCTATACAATACATTCATCAATCATCATTCAGTTAATCATTTTGTGTACATCATCTGTGAATTGCCTTCTGTAAGTATCGTTCAGTCATTTGTTTTAGTTCATTCATTAATATTATTCCCCAATTCAGGGCGTTCAAAGAGATACTTACAGAAGCACGTGAATTTTTGCCATTTGTGATTTGCATGTACACTGTGATTTATTCGTCTGAGTTCTAAAGGTAATCAGCTGACGAGCTGCATATTATTATTTATTATATTAGTCATTCATATTCTAGTCAGAAACTTTGTATTATTATTATTTGTATTTGAATTATTGTATTATTGTTAAAAGCCAAGAGGCTACATATTATATTTATATCATACTTAATTATTAGAAACCTGCCTGGCAATTTATTATTTTATTTATTTAATTACAAGAAAAACAAATTATTATTATCATTGCTCAATAAAAAATTACAGAACTGCCAACACACATTGTTTTTTTTTATTTTATATTCTACAAGCATATATATATATGATTCAGTCGTGAAGGCACAACTTATTTCATATTAATAAGAGCTGACAGCGGCAACAGCGTACGTATAATATCTCTAAAGGTTCTTCGTAAGTACCGAAATAGTTTAAGAAAAAGTTGACAAATACAATGCAAAACTTGGTTCCTAAACTAGTTTATTAAATTTTTAATACCTACTGTATTTGTTTATTAAGGATAAACGACATGCGAAGCTTTTAAAAAATCTAACCAAACGATCTGCAATAAGGTACAAATGGATACTATTATTATATTTTACGTTACATTGATTCATGTGAACTTTGATTGAAATCATTGTGATATTATTTTAGAAACGGACTTTATGTACTTATTTTTCTTATTTTCATATTATTAATCTTAAGGCGGGTCCAACTATATACGTTTGCGTGTAAGTACCTGCATTTAATGACCGACTCCGTTCGCAACGATCGGGCCAACCAGCAAACGTTTCAGCATATAGGTTAAGCTAGGTAACTGTGGTTACTTATATCATAATATATTGTGGTTCTTGATAATTGTTGATAAGTTATATTATTATATCCTATTTTCAGTATATTATGTATTCTGTATTCTAAAACATTGGTGTGCCGTGTATACGAAACATTTTGAGCTAGATCCAAGAACACCGTATAAGAAAATACTGTGATATACCAAATAGCAAAAGCTTACCGTGGATGTCAAGCAATCACAGCAAAGGATTTTATGCAAGTACACACCACCGTGTATAGTGGAAACCCGCCTTGAAGCTTCGACTGCCTCAGAGTTGATAAGCTTTTTTTGTGATATCTTAGATGGATATTCAACGAAGAATAAAATATATTAAATGCATTTTCAATAAACTGTGTTTTAAAACTGAAAAACAGTATAATAATACAATACTAACTATTTATAATAAAATTAATATATTTCTGTTGTTCGGTTCTCCTACACGAAATAAGATGACATTTTCTGGTTGGAAACAGAGGCCAATTATTTAATATGGAGGTTAGGTTGTGCCCTTTTCTTTCTTCTTCGTTTGATCAGGACTCCATATAATTACATGTATTACAGTATTTCACCTTAAGTACCACTCCACACTAAGTGAAGTCAGTCTGCAGCTGGTGTTCGATTTTGCACTCGCGTGCCCAGGGAGGAAGTTAGGGGTTATACTGTTATAGGTATCCTCCCCATTGACCCATAAATCCCCTTAGTTCAGTGGCGTAGCCAGGGGAGGGTCTGAGAGGGCTCCACCCCCCCCCCCCCTCCGAAATATTAAGAAAATTAAAAAATTATTTTAATGGTCTATGATAGTCGCGCAAAAAGTCTTAAATTGTACTTAAAATATTTAAAAATATACTATAAGTATTACCTAACTCGTTTCAGCTATTTATCTGTGGCAGTACGTATTTAATGTGTAAAAGTTGATCGGACCCCCCGAAAAAAAATCATGCCTATGCCACTGCCTTATTTGTTTCTTTGGTACTACCCCACATTGCATTTAAATATATTATTATTACTCATGTCATGAGACTCATGACCTCCCCCCATTGGAATTTCCTGGGCACGCCACTGTTGTTTTGATTGTTTTTTTTTGTGGAGTGAGGAGGTACTAGGTAAACGCTGAATAGCATTGTATGAATAAGCCCTCCTTGAGATTTCCTAGCCGTAAGCACAAATCTGAACAAAATATCATCTCAATACCTTTAACAGTTATACCTTAATACCTTATAAGTTTAAAGTGTAAGGTTTATGCATAAATGAAAAATGTAATTCAAATGTTTTTCCACGCATTTATTGTCTGATTATTCTTTACTTCAAGACCATTATATATTGTGCCAATGAACATTTGTTCCGAATGTTTTGTATAATAAATCCTGTGGAACAAATAAATTATGGAACAAACGTTCATCGGAACAAATGTAAATGTGAAAAGAAAATTGGATGAAATATTGCAAGGTGAAAATATGAGAAGAACCTTTACTCTAAATTTCAAGTTCGTACGTTGTGTAGTTTTTGAGTTACAGCGATGAGTGGTATATTTTATATATTTGGATTTTATATGTATAGATATAATATTATCTATATAATATATGTTACGGGCAATGTGGAATACCGGCCAGAGTATACTTTGCCCGATCAATGTGGTCCTGCCCTGGCAATGTGAACATTTTACCAGTGACATTTTATAATAAACTATGACTATTTTTGTTATCTATCGTACTGCCTATTTAAGAATCATAGTTTTCCCATATTAATATGTGATATGTTCATATCGGAATGATAAAATTAATAGCTGTCTTGATAAAATCAGTCAACAATATTATGATATGAACAATAATTGATATTTCGACTAACCACTAACCAGTCGAGTTTTTGTACTTCACACGACAGTACGACCACAGAACAGTACGACACTATTAGTATATTATACTTCGTTACCTACTATTTTGTACGCGTGTGTTGAAAATGGAATCCAAATTTAACGAACATTTGAAAAAAGTTATCGAAACGAAAAAATCTAACAGTACTTTTATTTGTAAATCTAAATATGATGAGATAATTAATTACCTATTTAAAAAAACTTAAGCTAGAGAAGGAAATAAATTCAAAATTGATGAATAAATACGACGTAATGACTGTACATAGACGAAAAATGAATTATGCCAAATAACTGCATAAGGTAATTGTGTAAAATTATATGCTTATAATGAAGAGTTATTTAACATTTTACATGACACAGATTTATCTATTGGGCACGGTTGTAGAAATCGCATGGAGTACGAAATAAATAAAAAATTTAAAAATATAACCAAAGAAACAATAACTTCATATTTAAATTTTTGCGAGTCATGTGAGAGAAAAGGAAGTACAGTTAAAAAAGAATTGGTGGTTAAACCAATTATTTCTTCGGAAATGAATTCGAGATGTCAAATAGACCTTATTGATATGCAAGCGCAACCAGACGGAGATTATAAATTTATATGTGTCTACCAAGATCATTTGACAAAATTTGTTATACTTAGGCCTCTAAGACATAAAAGTGCCGAAACAGTTGCTAATGTTTTATTAGATATATTTACCCTTTTTGGTGCACCCGATATATTACAAAGTGATAACGAACGTGAATTCGTTAATAAAATAATATCTGAACTTTGTACTATGTGGAAGAATTTGAAAATAGTTCACGGTAAGCCAAGACACTCTCAAGGCCAAGGATCAGTTGAAAGGGCAAACCAAGAAATAGAAAATATGCTTGCAATATGGCTTCAAGATAACAAAACAAATAAATGGAGCAATGGTTTAAGATTCGTACAATTAATGAAAAATCGTGCATACCACCATGGTACAAAACATTCACCATATGAAGTGATGTTTGGTACACCCCCTAAAATTGGCTTAACATCTTCATTACTTCCTGCAAACATAATAGAAAAATTAAAAACCGAAGAAGAACTACAAGTTGATTTAGATTCAATAGAGGTCATTTCTAACGACAACAAAAATAATGAAGTGATTTGTGGTATAGAAAAAGATGATGAAGATCAAAATATAATTGAAAAACAAACAAAAACAAGACAAACATCAATTAACCAAAACAGGAAAGAGTCATTAAATAATCTGAAAATTCAAGCCAAAAAAATGACGGAAATGTCCGAAAAACGATTTTGTCAATGAAATGTTGGGGAGTCAGTCAGAGTTAAAATTCCTGATGTAGATAGAGCACGGAGTGATCTCAGATGTGTTCTTGACGTGATTATGTCAGGTAATAATAATTTATTAAATTATATATTATAATAATTATCACTATTAAAATTTTAAAATACCTATATTTCAGTGAAAGATAACTTCTACGAAATCGGTACGACCGAAGGAAAACTGCAACAACTATACAGTAGAAACCAATTTACGATTTGTAAAGAAAAATTTGTACAGATCGAAGATGTACCGGGTAATTAAATTTCATTGCGAGAAGCAGCCCGCTGCTTTTCTAATTTAGGGGGACAAGGATATGATCGGTGTACTTGTACAGTGTACACAGGGTTGCAAAACAAATAAAATGCAAGTGTCGAAAAGCAAACAGCAAGCGGCTAGTAATTCTAAGTGTCATTCTTCTAAATCTTGTACAAATAAATAGGTAATAATAAAATTATAATTTAATTAGAAAAATTACAATAAAATTAGTAAATTTTAAAGTAATTTAATTTATCGTAAAATAGTCATAGTTTATTATAAAATGTCATTGAATTTAATTTATTAGAAAAATATCATAATGATATTAGTTAATTTTTAGAAATTTAATTTATTAGATATAATATAATAATACGATATAATATTATAATGATGTTAATTATTTTTTTTTTCATTCCATCAATATAATAATATAATGAATCCATAATTGAATTAAATTTATTAGTAAAATTATATAATGATATTAGATAATATTATTGGTTCACATTGCCCGGGCAGGACCACATTGCCCGTAACATATATATATATTCAGTATGATTGTTTTTTTATAGAATAGATTTTAATTATTTCACTGTGATATTGTATAATATAGTATCTTGGGGACGAGATGGCCGAGCGGTATAAGACGCAGCCGTCGCCGGTTCGATTCTCCGCCTCTGGGCGGCATTTTTCTTCGGGAAAGTCCGGAGAACAAGTGCCGCCATCCTCCACCCGGGGCATGGCAGAAACCTACGGGTGCCCCACTAGAAATTCTGGCATCATACACATCATACACATCATCATACACACACGTGTACCAAACCTACCCAATACAAAAACTCACAGTTCCACCCCCACCCAGTGGCCTATGTTGCCGCGGGTCATCTAATAAAAAAAAAATATAGTATTTTAGAAACTTGACAGTATTACGATTTGACTTATTATAAAATATAATATAAATTAAATACCTAGTTCTAAATATAGAATACTATTTTTTAGGGTGAATTATTTATTATTAATTCGTACGTTTACCAATAGAGACGACAAATCAATTTTCATTATTTTACAGTATCCAACAGAAAATAACTATATAGGTACGCTGTCATTATCAAAACAATAAGTTATATCTAAGTTTGTAAAAAGTATATTAGAAATTTACAAAAAGCACACATAATATAATATACATCATTTTAAATGTTGTACAATATAAGAGACATAAATGGCAGATAAAATCGACTAGTGATGATACGTTTTTTTACTTACAATAATTTCTATTTTAATTTCTAATATTGGAAAATAAAAAAATTTAAAAAAATTAAACTTTTAAGTTAACGAAATTATGTGATGATTTAAAATATTAAAATACTTATCTAAATAAGTAAGTCGAATATAGTAAAGGTACAAAGTTAAAGACATATTATGCGGTGAGGAAATGTGAATTTTTTCTTCGGTTTCCAAATTGATGTGATCTGATTTACATCAAACTTTGTGAGTGCTTGAGCATGGTGAGTTTAGAGACCATAATATGGTAATATACTCATATTATAATAACTTTTAGTATATTAGTATCTAATATGTTGTTTTAAAAATGAATTTTTTTCTATGTGTAACCTACATACTAGTTGGTATACTGTAGGTACAGTATACACTTACATACCTTGACTTCTTTTTTTTTTTTTTTTGAAAGAATTAAATTAAATTAAAATACCAATATTTAGGCACCAATAAAAATTGTAAATGAACACTTTGAGGTGATAATAGATATGCATATAATTATTAAATAGCTAAATTTCTTTCGATGTAACGAATGTCTCTAACGAGTTTGCTAAACTGTGAAGGGTCTAAAGAACAAATATGATCCGATCCCTTCATATTTCTGTCCAGTGTGATATGTCTTTCAATAATCTGAAAAAATATTAATATAATTACAATAATCAATTAATATTTAATAACTCCAATAAGAATAAATTGTAATTTATAATATTACCTAATTTTTTCTCAGTACATATAATATAATTTCATGATAGTATAAATACTATTATTACTCAATTGAGTGTTTGAGTCAATACTAATCGGACCCGGACATTTTGGCGTGGCCATCTTGGCGTGGCCACTTTGGCGTAAACCAATTTGGCGTATGGCAATTTTGGCGTATAGTTATTTCGGCGTAAGACTATTTTGGCGTTAGATTTTGGCGTAATAAAATATTTAATATTATATTACTATATTTACTATGTAAACTACAAAAGCAGACTGATATATCTGTCGTCTGTGCGTGTATGTTGCGGGTAATCAGTTATCAGTAATCAGTTGTCATAAAATTTAATATTTACTAATCAGTTGTAATCGACAATGGCTCAAATAAAGATCATTCGAGGTCGAGGTATATTCACCTAATCAGTTGTAATCGACAATGGCTCAAGTAAAGAGCATTCGCGGTCGAGAAATATACACCCACGATGGATATATGTACACATTTGACGCATATAATTTTAATAAAACAAAAAAATTTTGGAGATGCCGATATAAAAATGATTGTCCTTGTCGTATTCATACGTCAACTGAAACGTCCAAGGTAAAAATATTTTTACTATTCAATAAATGTATGTATATATGTTTTAATTAATAGTTATTTAAATAATAATATGGAAAATATTATAGGTGTTAAAGATTCTAAATGATCATTGCCATGATTCAGAGGCAGCTTTGATTGAAGCAAATGTAGCAATTACAAATATGAAACAACGAGCTAAAGACACTCTAGAACCAACGTCGAGCGTAATAAATGAATGTACCAGTGGGATTTCACAAGCGGCTAAGGTACATAATTTTTATTTTTGGTTAGATAATCTACGTTCTACTGTATATCTATTGACATATTGTATATACAGTATAGTGTACAATTTATGACCATCAATTTGTCACAGTTGATTGGGTTTAATCGTACAATCGTTTAATCGGTTAATCGTTTAATCGGTTAATCGTTTAATAATAATATATAAGGATAAGAAGACGTCGCACCAGCATGTGTTATTTTCGTGGTTGCGACAAAAATAAGAAAATTTACAGTTACATTATGTTGCCTATGTCTATATTTTTAAGGGAGCGTTAGCAGCAGACGGAGCCATAAAAAAACAAATCAGGAGAATACGTCGTGAAATACAAGCAGCCCCGGATGCACCAAAAGACTTGATGACACTTGTGATACCTGATGAATTTAAAACTTATTCGCCATCAGAGGGTATTGTGGAACAATTTTTACTACATGACAGCGGACCAGGTGAAAATAGGATTTTAATATTTGGTCGTTATCGGAGCTTAGAAATATTAGCTGAATCTACTAGTTGGTATGCAGATGGTACTTTCAAAGTGGCACCATCACTTTTTTCTCAAATTTATGTCATATTGGCAAAATATATGAACGGTGTACATCCTTTGCTTTATGCGCTTTTACCAGACAAAAAAAACAAACATATGAACAGTTATTACAAATAATTATAAACATAAAACCCGGGCTATAACCGATTTCAATAGCATGCGACTTCGAACAAGCGGCTATTAAAGCTTTTCAAAATATATTTCCTGAGGTTAAAATATTTGGTTGCCTATTTCACCTATCAAAAAACTTTAGGTTGAAAATGTGTGAATTAGATTTAATGTCAAAGTACAAAAATAATGCAGAATTTTCTATAGGGGTAAAAATGGTCTTAGCATTGGCATTTGTTAAAATTAATGATTTAGACACAGCAATAGAGGCACTAACCGAACACATACCTCCAGAGGTGTTACCTCTTTTAGATTGGTTTGAAGAATTCTATGTTGGTAGAACAATAAGAAATCGGCGACGCCCTGCTCGATTTCCACCTGTATTGTGGAACGTTCATGAACGGGTATTAAATAAAGAAGACAGGACAAATAACCACGCTGAAGCAGCCAATAGACGACTGAATTTACAAATGGGTGTACAACATCCAACATTGTGGACATTTATTACAAACTTAAGAAAAGTTCAGTCAGGACGTGATACATTTTATCAACATTTAGAAGCTGGAAATAGTCCCCCGAAAAAGAAAAAAAAATTTATAGATGTCGACAAAAGAATTTTTAAAATTGTAGAAGATTACAACAATCGCAACATGCTTAGTTTTTTAAGGGGAATAGCTCAAAATATAAGTTGTTACTAAAACTTTCAAAGTCAATTACATTTTATTTATATACATTTATATTTATATTTTTTATTTATATGAACTAACCTAACCTAAAGTAAATAACTTTTTTATTACCTAATACATTTATATCAATTGAACCTACTCAAAACTAAAACTTTCAAAGTCAATTACATTTTATTTATATACATTTATATTTATATTTTTTATTTATATGAACTAACCTAACCTAAAGTAAATAACTTTTTTATTACCTAATACATTTATATCAATTGATTTTTTACTCAACCTACTCTATTAATTATTATACATGATTATTATATTATTATTTATTATTTATTATATTACTCGTATAGGTACTAATCATATTAGTCCAAAACGCCAAAATAGTCTTACGCCGAAATAACTATACGCCAAAATTGCCATACGCCAAATTGGTTTACGCCAAAGTGGCCACGCCAAAATGGCCACGCCTAGATGTCCTAGATCGAATACTAATGGCTAATGTCAATAATACTTATACTTATAATGAGTAACTTATATGATTAATACATCTTACGTTAAATAGTTGATAACCACCCTGTATAACAATAATATTTTAAAGTATATTAATGTATACTATATAGGTTTCGGATATAGAAAAAAATATAATATATAAAGGGTTGTAAAGTTGTAACGCGCGGGAAATTGTATGAAAATATTTTCAATGTATAAATTGTTGTAAATTTAACAACAGATTACACAACTAACAACTATCAATATTATATAGAATTTAAATCTATATGAAGACATAAGGGTATGGAGACTATCAAAAGTGTTAAACGGCGTGGCAGTAAATACCATATGACACTATGTTGCTGTTCTACTCTGCTCATCTGCACTTATTAATAACTATTATCAATAAAAAAATATTTGCTACCTATTCAATGTATGGATTACTTAATAAATTAATTATAGATTATGAGAATTTGAAAAATATATATTTAAATCATATTATGCGCCTTTTAAAAACCTTAAATTTGAAAAAGTAGAAAAGTAGGTACCAGGTGGCAGGTACCTATATAAAAAAAATTAAAAAATGTTTATATTAGCACTATACAATGGTAGGCATACATGTAAAACATGATATTAATTATTATAAAGTGGAAATATAAAACAGATTTTAACAGAACTTAATAATTAATAATACAACATTTTATGGATGCTATCTAAACGGACACCTCACTTGACGGAAAAAAATGTAAATGTCCTGATAAAAATAATAAGGTATTTCAGCGTATTTCGACCTACAAATAACACTTTTTTTATTCTACGGAACTGGAAAAAATCTAATCATTGAACTTATCGACAACATACTTTAATATATTATCAGTTATCACTGTCATATCCGTTTTCGATAAAATTATTGTCACCTGTCGGCGAATCGAGAACATTTAAACTTTATTATAAAACTGAGACGTCGGCCAATAACTTATTAGACTTTTTAAAAATGGGAATGTCTTAAAAATAATTTAACACTGGTATATTAGTCGGCGAACTGAGTTGTCGGCGAATTGGGATACGGCCATGTGGGTATGAACCGTCTGCATATAGTATACGATACTCCCATAATCCCCGTTTCATATTCTTACTTTGGCACCGAGTGCTACTGACGCAGCTGTCAGAGAAGAGCCCACTTCGTGGCCGGAATAACCAATGATCGTGTTCGGAAAAGTCTTGCGAAGCGTTTTGATCATATTCAGGTTGGCCTCGTCCGGCGGCGTCGGGTAAGCGGATACGCAGTGTAACAGTGCGAAATAGTTATGGTACCGGCTGACGGTCTCGTAAGTAATTCGTATGTCAGCCAGCGTCTGCATGCCGGTAGATATGACCAACGGGACGTAAGCCTTAGCCGCCTTTTCCAATAACATCACATTGCCTGATTCGCCCGAACCGATTTTCACGAACGGCACTTTGAGGTTAACAATGAAATCAAATGAAACCTGAAGAAAAAACGGATACATCTATATGAAGTATACATTTTATATTATGGGTAAACTGGATATAGTGCCCGATAGTGACGAACGAGGGGACACATCCCCCACCCTAAAGTATCTTAATTATTTTGTTTATTTTATTTACGATATGTTTGAAGTATTCGTATTTTATATCTTATAAGAATATGAGGTAAACCCTTTAAAAAAATTTAAGTGCAAATAAGTATTTTTTTTTTTTTATTCATACTACGATTATCTATACGAATTACGATATTTAAAATATAGCAGCAGTGTAAGTGAGATTAATCGTAACAATTTGAGTAATGTAAACAACTAGAAATTAGTAATATAATAATATAAATTGATGCTGATAAATTGTGTCAACTGATTTACCGGGTCCATTGCCGATGCAGTGAAATGAATTCCTACTTTTTTTACTGCATACCTCCGCAGTTCCTTGTATTGATCTTCATTAAACTCTAGGAAATGTTTGTGTTCACCGTAAGTCGCGCCGAAAGAATTTTTACTGTTGTACAGTCTATTTCTGGCCAACAACGTAAATTTTTCGTTTATGCAACTTTTTTGAAACTTTACACAGTCCGCGCCACATTTCTAAAATAATTCAAATCATAAGATTTATACATAATAATACAAATATCTACTATACAAAAAATTAAAAATATATATTATAGATTAGGTACTTACTTTGGCCAATTTGATCAGTTTTTTAGCCATCATTATATCACCTTGATGATTTTGTCCTATTTCAGCGATAATATAACATGGGCTTTTAAAATGTATGGATCGGCCCAGATCGATTTCAGTTATATATTCGGTATAATCTGGTACTGGTTCATCGTATGGCATATAATTCGTATAATGTTGCAGTCTAAAGTAATTATAATATAAATTACCTACAATTAATACAATTAAGATAGGTACAAGATGCAAAAGTACAATGAAAATATAAAATAAGTAAGCTTAACATTGTTAATACAACAGCTATCTATAGATCTTACATTCTGATATTTTATATGTTCATAAATATAATAGTTCACCATAGTAGTCACATGAAGTCTCTATATTATTACGTTAGTCTCACAACAGTCACATGTGTTTAGGTTTCGTCTTATGAAGGCTAATAACTTCCGTCAAATTTGGATGAAATTATTAATATTTAGTGTTATACAATATAAATAAAATGCAATAAATAACAATAGGTAATTTATTAATATTATTTTTTAAACATAATTACATAATAAACACTCGCTGACTCAAAATTACAGTTATATTTAAGTTAAATTTTTTAATTTAAATTTTAAATATATTCTGCAAGTATAATTATTTTTTATTTGTAGGATAAGTAGAAGTGTGAAAAAATATCTGAATGTTTGTATATTGTATACATTTAGAAAGTAAAATATTGTATGCTCTAAATGTAAAAATACTGTAGAGTGTAATCACTAATCACTATTTGTTCACTAATCGCTATTGATTTCAGACTGTATAGTGTATAACGACTAAATTATATAGCTTTATAAATATAAACTATAGAGAGAGACGGACCTAGGATTTTTTTACGCCAGGGGAAAAACTTTAAATTACGTCCAATCATAGACCAACACTGAATGACTCTTCCCTGAATGATTGTTTTCTAATAATTAGCACAATTAAATGTATTTATTCAATTATTAGGTAGGTAATCATTGACGAATATTTTGGTTACAACATAGAAAAGTGGGTAAGTGGATGTAGCTCTGCTGTACAGTAGGTTACAAGTGGGTCACTGTAATGGATGGCGTTCAATTTGAATTCAATAATATAATATCATTGTATAAGAGAAACGATAATGAGACGAAAACGGTCAGTCACCTATAATACCATGGTAATTGGTATTGTATGTATAAATGTATTATTTAGACTAAAACTGGTCTTGCATATTTTGAAAAATTAATATAATATATAATAAATTTACTCTTAGGATATATTATACTGACACAGATAGGTTCAAAAATATTATAGCCGTATAAGAATAAGCGCGTAGGTGTATTATTACTTAGAATTTATTTGCCAAATAAATCTCATTAATTTGAAAAAAAAATTAAATTAAACTATAAAGACATAACAAATATTAAACGAACAAACCATAATAAATAATAATATTTTTACTATAGGAAAGAATTGTGTTATACCTATAAAATAATATATATTAATGATATGCCTATTATTTCATTAGGTTAGGATTGATTTTTGTAACCTATTTTTCCCTCAAAATAAAATATATTTTATATTATGTTTTCTGGAAATCATTTTTGAAAATAAAAATTACTATAGAAATATAAGTTAAACTAGTACTGTCTGTTAAATTGTCAATTTATACAGATAATCTGGATAATATATAATTTATAATTTGTAAGTACCTCAATATAAGATGTTAACTTAAAAAATATCATACCCATCAAAATCAGAAACAAAAATTGGATCATCTTCATCAACTTCAGATAATAACTGTCGACCGATTACTACTGGGAAGTAAAATCCACACATGCTCTGTGTGTCACTAACTTTGATTTTCATATCTTCCGCTTTTAATATGGATCCACGCTCTAAATTTTTCGCAGCTACAACGCTTTTGAACAACTTTTTAAAACATGGCAGTTCAGATGGGGAGAGCTTGTCTTTTTTCCCTGTCCCTAGTGCAACTTCAACTGTCCTAATATTAGTCACCATAGTACGGAAGTCTCGAGTGGAGATAGACATCGCGTGGTCGTATCCGATTGATTTATCGTCCAACGTAAACTTGCAAGATATCGCCTATAATATTAACAATTATTTAAAAAAAAATTAAAATAACAGACAACAAAAAAAGAAATTTTCTTAAATCTATTAACTCTTAGTATACATTTATTGTAACATGTGTATATTATATGTAGTTATTTATAAAGTTATTGCAATAATATAATGTAACATATATATTACATATGATATTATTTTTTTTAGTACCTATCGTTACAAAATCAATTAAAATGAAAGTGAATAAAATATAATATCCGTTAGATAAATATCCTTCATAAAACTTGTCTGATTTTATTACTTTGTTTCATCACAAAGCCGGTCGTCAGCCGTTGGGTGGATATTGACGCCTTAAATTTAACAACTTTATCACAAAACAAAAAAAAAATTGAGATTTAATCGATGAAATAATACAAATATTAGTTGTGTGAAAGAATTTATTACTAATTTGTTCAATGAGGTTCAATCAAACTGACAGTAAAATTATAATAACAAAACGATTATATAATTAATAACATTATACATTAACGTCATAAAAAAATCACAAATTGAAATACATAATATTATTATGTACAAATTAATTAATTTAAAAAAAACTTTTTTTTTGTCTCATTAGTCATTACTTACTTCTAGAGCAGAAAACTTGCCCACTAATCTCAACAGTGATAAGGCCATTCCTGGTAGTAAATTTAATTTAGTTGGTACTCAATTGGGGGTAAACAATATACTTCACACTTCGCAATACTTTTCTTAATAATTTGAATTAACTTATAATTAATAAACTATATAGTGTAAAAACGGGAAATTTACACAATACCGTGGTTTTCACCAAAATAAATTATATTTTTTTTGTAAATCGAATGACGAATAAGCACTACCTAAACACTACCTAAACACTATTCTCATTACTTCCCCCCAACCGTCTAAAATACTGCCCTGCTTTTAGGTAATGGTTGTCATACAAATATAGTTAAATTAATTTATATTTGAAAATAATTAAGCAAATATATTAATATTGGCATATTATATTCTTTTTATATAATACATAAAAGAGAGTTCAAAAAAATGTTGACCATTTATATCTCAATAAGGCTGGACAGATTTCAAAAATGATTTCATCATTAGAATGTTACATTATCCTGAAAGGTGCTCAAACAGGGATTGAGGTTGGATGATGGAAATTTTTGTTTATAAATGGTTGCTTTTGGTTATTGCCTATTGAAGAAATAATTAGTAGAAATTAATATTTTATTTGTATATTGGTTGCCATTTATTAATCGGTGGGGTCAGATACAAGCATGCATCAAATCTAATTTTCGCACATATAGCCCATCACCAAGGTGGGCAAGTTGCAGTTACGCAGAGAGTTACAAGTTTACAACCAAAAGGAGTTGAACAATCACAATTTTTTTAAGAATTGTCATTTTGTACTGGCAACAAAGTGTTAAGGGCAACAGTTACAGTTAAATAAAATATAAAACATTTAATTTCTTAATTTTAAACTATTGGTTGTTTAATATTGATAAAAAAAAATATTACTTTTATTCCGATAGCAATAACCACTTCAGGAAGGCACGTGCTTATTTCTTGAAATTCCCAAAACTGGAGTTCATGTTTGGGAAACTTTTGTTGTATTTTTTCCACTAGATCAACGGTTTCGTATGATTTACGATCTTCGGAAATATCCTTTTCTGGAATTGAAGGAAATGCTAGTTGCAAATCACTACTAATTTCATCCTCGTCATTATTTATATCTTTAAATTGCTGAATTGGAGAAATTTGACGAATTGAATTCTAAACAAATTAATAGCACATTTGTATGTGAAAAAATGCGTAATGTGAATGTTAAAAACTGACTAACCACTAACGATTTGGTCGTGAAAACGGCCCCATTATCTTGAGCCAACTTATGAAAGTTTGTGATATCTTCACAAGTAAATGGATTGGTATTTTCGTCGAGTTCCATTAATACATAATCCGCGCCACATTTCTAACAAAATTATAATATTATTAAAGACAATTAATTGATGATTTCTATTCTGATATAGAAAATAATATATTTATATTTATATTTATTATTATGATTTCAATTTATTAATAAAAAAATTTTAAATGAATTAAGTACCAGCTATCTACTTCCAAGGAAAGTCAATAAATCAGTTTCCACAATCAGAAAATACATATTTTGAGCCTTTAATATATTTTTAATAAATATTAAAAATTTTGAATTACAGTAATATATTCGTAAGTACATATTATATTTTAAATGAATTAATAATATTATAATATTACATCACAATTTACAAATGACAATGTGTATATTTATTTAAGATTAAATATATAACTATTGAAATATAATTATTTATTATATAATCTAAATAATATATAATAATAATAATAATAATAATAATAATTCCACAAATTGAAAATATGCTTATATTAGGTATTTAGAACTATAATAATAATTACATTAGGTAGGTTGTAGACATAGAAATTTATTTCATACTTTTGTGGTATCATCATTGGGTTTTTTCTGTATCTATTAACTCTCTCTTTTGGTAAAATAACTAAAATGTTTTTAATTAAATTACATTTTCAACACCTAAAAAATAATGTACCTTGATAATATTATTTAACCCAACAATAATATATTTAGGTCGGTAGTATTATATAATATATTATATAGTACAATATTTTAAGACTTGAATTTTAAAATCGATTGAGTTGTTGAAATTTTATAAATAAAATATCCCACTTTTTATTCAATTGATATTACCTTCTCTAAACTATTAATAGATAGGTAGGGACTATTATTATAGAACAATATGCCAATATTATATACTACATAAACTATGAACTATGAAGTACCTAATAATGTCTGAAAAATATAAAAAAATACCTAGTTTATACATTTCTAGGCAGAATAGTATACAGTGTGAATATATATAGCTATAGGTAATTATGAATTATACTGGGTAGTACTATTTATATATATTAGAATAATTAGTAATTAAATTATATTACTTTAGGCAAACATTTTTTTTTACTAAAATACTTAAAGCGTTTCTGTATGTTTTATTTTATCCATGGCATCTTCTATGGTTCCTAATGCTTCAAAATGAATATTATCCATTCCTAAAAAAGTAATAATAATTATTTGTTTGATATACCCAATTAATTTATATTATTTAAAATATTTAGGTATAAATTATACCTTCCGTTGTTTCAATAAAATCACGTAAAATTGCTAACGCTCTTGTGGCTTCTTTGTAAGCAAGTTTTCTTGACGTTGAATAATCGTCTGTATCATTATCACGTGTACATTTTGTTAATCCTGCAACTTCTGCAGATATTATTTCAGAATCATTTAAATTGCTACACACTGTTAGGTTATCGTCAATTTTGACATAACGGTTAAATGTAAATTCTGGCATTAAATTGTACTTTTGTTTAATATACGACCATTCAGGATGATTTTTTTCTTGATAGGGTACTTGGTAGGAGGAAATTGTTTGAACAAGTGTACCAGGGTGTTGAAATCCCGCTTTTTTGAAACTATTTGATATTATTTCCGACGTAACTTGTCTCCATGACTTGTCAGTTATTCGTACAGCTTGTAACAAATCAATTGAAATAGTGCGTTGAAGTTCAATATGTGAAGTTATTTTACGTAACACTTCTTTTCTATAAAAAACCTTGAAGTTTTGGATTATGCCGTGGTCGAGTGGTTGGAGTTTTGAAGTGCTGTCGGTTGGAAAAAACTTGATAGTAATAGCTTTTAAATTTGGAACGATGACATGAGCAGTGCAGTTATCAATGAATAATATAATCTTACGATTTTCCATGAACAGCTTTTCATCAAACTGTTTAAGCCATTTATTCCACAAAAAAGCCGTCATCCATGCTTTTGGGTTTGATTCGTAGTCTATTGGCAAAGATTTAATTCCTCTGAAGCATCTTGGTTTAGTAGGCTTTCCGATAAGCAAAGGTTTGATTTTTTCGGTACCACTCATATTCGTACACAAAAGAACCGTGACGCGTTCTTTACTTCGTTTGCCATCGCGGCAATCGTCATTTCCATAAGATAGCTGCTGAGTACTGTCCGGTAGACATCTATAAAAAATTCCAGTTTCGTCTGCATTGAAAATGTCGTTAGGTGAATATTCGTTGATTATAGTTAAAATATCATTTTTCCATTGGAAACAATGTTGATCTTTACTGACAGACAAATTAGACAAATTTCCACTGCAAGGTTTTCGTAAAGTAATGTTGTTTCGTTTTTTCCATTTATCCAGCCATCCAGTGCTATTTTTGAAATTTGTGTAACCCAGTGACTTTGCAAATATGTTAGCCTTTTCTTTTAATATAGGTCCACTTACAGGTAGGTTACTATCCTTGCACTGGACATACCATTTGAATAAACTAGAATCCAGATTCGGAAATTCAGATAGCTTAATTTTCTTCCGACTTGGTTGCAATTTGAAATTTGTCAAAATTTTCGTTTTATTTTTTAAAATAGTCGATAACGTAGAGCTCGGTATGCCAAATGCGTTTGCTACTTCATAATTTTTTTTCCCGCTCTGTTCGACCATATTAATGACGTTGACTTTTTCCGCAATCGTTAAGATTTTTAATTTACGTTTCGACATATTTAAATATAAAAATTGTTTTTTAACAATAACAGTAAATCCACGCTTCCACAACACAGTTTCAAAAAAACCCGCACGATCGCGTAAGCTACTAAATGTATAGTATTTACTATTTACTATTGAACCCAAATACACTGCACTACTGCAGATACACGCGTCTTATATGAAGACGTTATAAATAAAACTGCAACCGTATATATTGGTAATAAACCGAAAAATTGTGAAATTTACCGGAGATGTACAGATTCGATTTTATCGAAGTTAAGTGTATATAGACAATAGTAGGTAGGTATTATATTGCAGCAGTATTGTATGATAAAGTACGCTTACTTGTACCTATTATTATTACAAGTCGAAACTCTGCGGGGTGGGAAGGGAATGGTACTTTTTTGTACGGTCGTCGGAGTTTGCGGATTTATAGCTGATGATGATCCTCCACCGCGTATACCATAAACATATAGGTGTATAGTGTATACTACAATAATATTGTCATATATGTTTAATAAATAATATTATAATATATATTAATAATAAATCTACAGCATATTATATATAGATACGTTCGATATTTCAAAGCGATCATATTGGCATATTACACAAATATAATATACGGCCGGCGACGACCATATTATTATATTGTATACGAGAGGGGCGCGATAGCGGTTGTATCATCTTCAGCTCTCGCAGCGGTTGTATTTAGCGGGCGTATAATTTTGGTACGAATATTATATTGTCGTCACGGACATATATATTAATATTATATTATGTCATTCTATAATATTCATATTATAATATAATATTATCGAGACGGCGAAGCGAATATATATTGGTAGATATCTAAATACAGGTAGTACAATATTATAATAACACGACAGACATCGCCCGGCGAAACGGCGCTAGTCCTATACAACAATAATTACGTGTAAAATAGTGTCACGGTGTGATCGGTTTATTTCCGATTAAAAAAAAAAACGTTTCAATCGTAAATTATATATTATGGCTCACGCATGCTGTTTCGATCAGTTCGCAGGCCAGCGTCGCGTTTCCTTCGTGATTCGTCGACAGATTCGCGATGACGTACGCCCGACTGGTTTTGGCAATGTTCTTCATCGCGTGCAGTGCGTATAATATTAAGCCTCTCGCGTCTGACTTCCAAACGAAAACGATGCACCTACGGTCGGCGTTTTGCGTATGCCGTGACCGTATTGATTTTTTTGCCCGCCACAAGTGGCGAATGACGTTCAAAAGTCCGTACCACCCACAGAACCGCGGTCGAAGCGCACCGGGAGGTTTTAAACTCAACAGTGACCAAAGAAGACTGACAGACGGACGAATGATACCGGACAGCTGCTGATAACGAATGAAAAATAATAATATTATTATTTACTATAGCTGATATCAGCTGATAGTTAAGATGTTTAAGGAGATGTTACTATGCTTATGAATAATATTATTTTTTCAAGTTTGCTAGTGCTACAAAAGTTCAAAATTATTGTTTACTCTATCTAAACTACATTGTATTTAAATATAATATCATTTTTGTATAACTTACGGAAGTCGACCTTCCTGATTGGTGATATCCTTGCTTACAACGACGTAGTATCACGGGAAGAATTTTTTGTGTAACCGTTTTCGATCGAACACAAATCATGTCATTTCAGGATCCAACGTTCGTCGGCGACACTCCAGAGTTCCAGAACAAACGTACTAACCTGTTCGCCGTACTTGATCAAGCAGAGAAGGATTTGGAATCAAAAATTAAAAAAGCCTCGACGGCTGACGCACATGAAATACTCAATGGTCGTGTAGAACGCAGGACTGGTCGTTCACTGACCAAACAATTCCGAGGCAAAGATAGTCTGTTTGTCAAGCCAGAAATACCACCATGGCGCATAATCGAAAAACACAGACCACCAGATTTCAAATTGCATCCACACAAATGGACTAAATATTCATTGGCTGATGTGAACGAGATGAATGACAAGAGCAATGCAGCTGCTGCATTTGCGTTTCTAAAAGAAATGCAAAGTAGAAAATCTAAAGATGACGAAAATGATGACGAAGAAGGAAAGAAAATAGTGTTCAAAAGAACCCTGAAGTCCACAGAACCAGAAATGAAACCGAGTTTTAAGAGTACTAAACTGGTTATGCCAGAATATGAATTTGGAAAAAAGGTACAGAAGAAAAAAAGTAAACCCAAACGTACAACAGATGGAACTACGTCTAATAAAGAAATTAAACTTGGGCATTTAATGGAAGATGAAATTGATGAATGATTCATATTTTGTATAAACTGTAAATACTAGTTATATAATTAATCTTATGTTAAGTCTTATTAAACTTATTTTTAACTAAAGAATCCAATTTAATATTATGCAAATAAATTATTTAAATCCACACAAGTGTAAGTACCTATATATATTGTAATATACATTCCTCTATTTTATTTTAAATCAATAATACATTTTATAACTTCTATAAATCTGTATAGGGAGTACTCAATTATTCATTGATTTAATCTAAAATAATTCAAACAAAACTCATTTTCCTCATAAATTCATTGGACCTTCAAAATAATTAGAAAAATGTACCTACTCGTCAGTGGCGGTCAGGCGGTGATGAGTGGGATAGATCCCCCCCCCCCCCATGACCTATTTTCAATGTTTAAGATCTGATAACCATAAATTATATTTTTACTAATCAAATAGTGCTTGTAAAAAATCAGACATATACTCCCCTTTGATATAAAATCATTTGACAGCCACTGATAGTCATAACTTAATATAAAAAAAAGTATTCAATAGGTAATGAATAATGATAAATATACTTAAATATTCACAATTACACATCATAAATAATATAATCCATAATTATGGTCAAAACAAAAATATTGGTAGTTTCGTTTTAATTAGTGGTAACTTCACTTACAATTTATTTAAAAATACAAAAAATAACATTACAATTTTATCATATTTCTTCGTTCAATGTGAGTTATGGATAAGGGTAAATGTGTATACTCGATAATAAAAAGGTGGGCAAGTGGGTGTCGCTCTGCTGTACAGTAGGTTACAAGTGGGTCACTGTATAATGGATGATATTAAATTTGAATTCAACGATATAATATCATTGTATAAGAAAAACGATTCTGAGCGCAGACGGTATGTCAGTCTATGTATAAGACATATTATATACATATCTATGGTATTAAACAAAAAATTGACCTATAATGGGTACCTATAATAAATTCCAAATTAATCATATCAAAATATCCATTAGGTACTTCAAAATCGATTTTTTGGAAAACCGATTTTGCGTAAAAATTCCCGTTTTTCCTTAATTTTTATGTTGTTTTTCCCGGCGCTTGTGAAAACTACTGGGAAATTTATACTTTTGACCCCCCAAAGTACCAACTAGATTCACTTTCCTATCAGAAAAGATACTGATGAAGAAAATCCAAGCACTTTTACTGTCCTAAAACGTGATGACAGACACAAAAAAAAATAAAAAAATAAATAAAAAAATAAAAAAAAAAAAAAAAAAACACACATCATTGTAAAATCAATACATTCATCGTTTCACTCAGAATCTAAAATAATTTTTGTTTTAAACTATCAGCAATTAACAAAATAAATTATTTGAGAATTGAATAAATTGTTCATAACTTGATGATACCCATCCCCTCTCTAAACAATGAAAACCATATTATTTACACATGTTTTTGTATATATCATGAACTTACTGTTATGAAAAGGATTTAACAAAATAATGTACTATATATAAATTTATTTATTGTTGTTATATCATTATATTTTTATATTTTTATTCAAAAAATCAATGACAAAAGGTGTTTAATGTATAAATAAATGAATGGACCTTAATGGATCACAGTTTTGAAACATTTTAAAATAGAAAAATAAAACTTTATATATTTCTTTGAGATAAGTTCAATTTAAATATAATACTAGGTTGTAGGCAGTCAGGCAATCAAATAAACAAAATTGATCAAAAATAATAAAATAAAGGCAAATATGAACATTAAACTCTTACATTGATATTATAAAATTGTAATACTTAATAAAAATAAATTGTTATACATAATAAGTTCAAAATTACCAATTATATTTGTAAACAATAAAACATAAAATTGTAAACTATTGAGTATCAATCATAATTCATAACAATATAACAGATGAGTTACAGAAATTTGGATTTAGTGAAATACATTAAATAGGATAATTTTATAATAATATTCTTTAATTTAACCACATGATTATTGTGGTTAGGTTATTTAAGAGATTATTAAAATTTTTGGATAATATGATGGGAACCTTGATCAAAAATATACTACTAAATAAAAAATAAAATATATTTTTTATAGTGCTTCTAAACACATACAAGTTACATCAAATATATATAAAAAATGTATTATATCTTATTAGTTATTACAAACAACTTTTTTTTTTAACAACTATACAAATAGGATAATATAAAGTATAAAATTTACAAATTTGAATAATGCTGATATGTTATAGGTTCAGTTGCTTAAACTAAACATCATACAAATACACACACATAAAAATTAAATAGTTTCCTAAGAAGAATGTGAATTAATAATTACGACAAAATAATGTGATGAAAATTAAAAATATATGTATGAAATACTATAATTGCACATAAAAATAGTAAAGAAGTATATAAATGAACTAGTTAGAAATCACAGTTTAATCAATTAATATAAGGCACAAAATTCCAATGGCATGAACATTTGTTAATCAATAATTTAAAATAATAATTAAATTAAAATCACCGTGTTAGTTTATTTTTAAATAAAATAACAATAAACCATCTTTTAAAATACATTTATAATTTAAAACTTGTTCAGAGTTTAGTTATACTCAATGGATATTAAAACTAAAATTCCCTTGAGTAAATTACCAAAGGAAATTCAATATTTTTGACTTTGTACTCGATCATTTATTTTTTACAAGATGGAATAAAAAAAATAAATATTTGACAGAATTTACGCTTTAATAAATGGGTGAACTGCCACATTTGGTGGTATGATGTATACAATACCACCATTATCATCTTTTCTAAAACTTGCAGTTGATGTTTGAGGATTAACTTCAACTCGAAGCATTCGAGACTTTTTGCCCAACATACAGTTAAATTTGTTGGACACATTTACTGGCAACTCGGAGTTCCTCAATCTAAAATAATGTAAATAAATAATTTATACATTTCATTAAAAATCTATATTACTTAATATCTATTAGTGCATATAATTCTTTTACATTTTAATACAAGTACACTGTTAAAGATATCATAAATTTAAATGTTCTTACTGGAAATATCTGGTGCTGATGACTCCTAAAAGTTCACCAATTCTGTCTTCATTAATGTCAGCAGTTGGTTTTAAAGTAACTACTAGATCATTTCCTCGATTAGAATGAATTACAACCAGTTGATCTTGTCCTGGACTTACACTCATTCCAGTTACCTAACAATAAAAGTTAAATGTTAATAAATTATACCTATGTCTACAATCGGTGTTTTTGTCACAAAATTTTTACTTCTTGTATAGGCATTCCTTTTTTCATTGGTTTGAAATTTGTTATGTCCAACTTATAAATTGCCCAATCAGTTATTAATATTGCACGATCCGCACACTTATTATAACGGTTCGTTTTATGAATAAAACTCGAAAACAACACCTACATATCATACAAGTAATATAATTAATAAAACAATTTAAATTAACTGAGTATTTAAAATGTTATATCAATACCTGATTAAAACGATCAGAGTTCTTAAGGTTATTCAATGCAACTGTATAATTTGCATTTTCTACGTTTTCTGTAGGTGATGAAAGATAATCACCTCTCCACATACGTTTTGCACCCCAACTTGGCCGTTTCCCCCATAATAAAGATGCAGCATATACTTTGCATCGCAACTGTGGCCATTCACTTCTAGGATAGGGGCTCAATAGCTTATATGCCTTCCATCGTTTGTATATAGACCTTAATGAAGGTTCTAATTGACGAACAGCAAAATTTGTATGTGGCCAAACTATTGATTCCTTATGATGTGCATTCATTTCACAAGTTCTATGACACAAACAATGATTCATCAACTAATTATAACTATAAGCATTGAATATGAATTAAAACGTTTAGTTAACCTATGAGCTTCCAGGACAGATTTAAGGTAAGTGCGTATTTTATGACGCCGATAAAATTTAATTATATAATAGGCAGCTTTCATTTTGCGAAATTTAGCACGACATATAGCACCTCGCCACTGTTTTTGCAATAATATCACTATAGCTGGGATTAATTCTGCTCTCATCTGAAAAAATGTCATCAAATAACTAATGTATTTTATTGTGAAGTGCCTAGGTATTTTACATACCTTTTCCAAGGCAAATAATGTTTGAGGTGATCTAATAAATAACTTTGTTATCCCATATTTAACATCATTTGAAAAATTATTTTCATCTATTAATGCTCTGGTGGCATCTTTGTCACTACATTTATAACTAGGCCATGTAAAACCACTTATCATTTTATACCTAAATACAACGTTACAAAGTATTATTTATTTTTGTTTATTGCACATGATGAATAAAATCACATTTACCTTTTGAGGAATCTGCTATAAGGCTGTCTATGAGCAAACCCAGCTCTTCGCACTCTGACATTTTCTAATAGACCCAAATAAGAAACTTGATGAACAACTCTTTTATAGTCTATCCCAACAGGAGCCTTATTTTCATTTGGTTTTATACATCTCACATAATATGGCATTTTACTATTTAATGTTTTGACCAAAGCAATCATTGATGTTTTAAATGCACTTCCAGCAGTTACTGGTCTTTTTGTTGTCTATGGAAAGCAATACAATTAAAATTATTAGGTTCTTATGGACAAGTTATAATAATAATTGTTTATGTAATTATACTTACAGATTTTATATCTAAGGCTCCTTCAGGCCACATATCTCTAATAATTGGATTCTTTGAAGAGTAAAGCAGTCTTTTAAAATCTTGAAATAATGTATCTTTATTTTTTTCCAAAAAACCATAAATATTATACACTACATCACCAGCGTAATGTCTTGAAATAGATAACAATAATAATTAAAATGTATTAATTTATTAAAGTTATGAACACTTACAAAATTTTAAATTGAGTCTTATGTTTTAAATCTTTGTCCAATGTATTCACCTGCCTGCTAGAATAGTGTTTGTGATACGAAAGTTTTGAGTCCATGGCTTCTAATAACATCTAAATAAGTAAATGTAAATTAATCATTCAAGTGAATAATATTTATTTGTATTAATCAACATACTTCATCGTTTACTTTGCCTACATTCAGACAAGCTTCATCCATAATTGCAATTACACCTTGATGAGATTTTTCTACAAGGTCACAAATTACTTGGTTGTTAAAATATTTAATTTCTTGCCAGGCTATGCCTTCTTTTTTGTATTCTTCCTGCTCTTGACGTAACACCAAATCTATTGATAAAATAATAAATATAAAATATGAAAACATATTGATTCATTAAATGTGCTTGTACTATTTATTGTCTTACGGGCAAACCTTATTAATAAATGGTAGACATAATTACAATTAAGCTATATAAGATATGATACACAACAGTGTTAACATACAATTTATTAAACTACAAAGATATTTTATATTAAAATGTTTATACATTTTGTATAAATAGTTATTAATTATACAATTTATTTTATGATTTAGTTGATTATTTAAACGAATACCTATGAATACTTGTTGAAGTTTTTCATTACAGTAGTTAATGCAAAATTGTTCAAAGCTATTATGTTCAAATACTTCGAATCCATAAATATCTAATACTCCAATTACAGTTCCTCCTTTGTACTTATCATTTTCAATATATGGTATTAAGGCTTCATTGACCTTACTTACTATCCAAGTGAACAACCGATCATAAATTGCCTATACAAATAGGAAATAAAATAAAAATAATATTTTTACTGTACAAAAATTGATAATTGTAATAATACTTTTGCTAATGCATCTCTTCCAACTTCAGCCTGAGATAAAGTGTGAGCTTTCTGCAATACTTCACCATTTGCTGCAATTATACGTTTACTTAAAGCTGTTAAAAGATCTTTAGTGTCAACCTCTAACAGCTTGGATACTTGTTCAACTGGATTATTATGAGATTTAGTCACAGCAATAGTATCATCATCATTGGTTGAAAATGTTACATTTCCCTAATAATAACAGAGCAATAATTTGTCAGATTGTTATTATTATTTATTATTGGCAATTTCAAAATCTATTTACTAATTGTAAGATAGCGGCAACAATTTTCCAAGTGGTTTTAATGTCAATCACAGAAAATCCAAGTGTCTTGCAAGCACTTAAGGTAGCTTGAAAATCAGATTTATCAGCTGATGTAATCGTGGATTTCCCTTGCTGTGTATAAAAATAATGTTGGGGATCTGGATTCAACCCTAGATTGCTAGCTTCTTTATGTGTTGTATTTCCTAATGCCTAAATAATATAAGGTATATTTATACAAATAATCTCATTTAGTTTTAATTTTATTACCTACCTGGTAAAAGCTATGGAAGTTACGTTCACCAAGTTGTTGTTGTATAACACGAGATTTTTCAAGTAAATAATTAATAACTCGTCCACCAATTGGATCTCCTTTAAAATCAAAATTTATATCCATATATTTTCCAAATCTAGAGGAATTATCATTTCTGTTGGTTTTAGCGTTTCCAAATGTCTCTAAAATTATGTTTGATTGGATCAAGATGTTCTTTACTCTATAAAATATTAACAACATTAAAATTAAATATAATTTCTCTAAACAAGAGATTTACCGTTCTACTTCTTGTTGACCAGTCAAGTTAGTGACTGCGGCAATATACTTCATTATAATCTTAGATGCTTCAGTTTTACCACTTCCTGATTCACCACTAATAACAATACAAGAATCTTGACTGTGCATTTTCATGCTACGGTGTGCAGAGTCCGCAATTGCAAATATATGTGCTGGATTTTCAAAAATCTCCCGTCCTTCATGCAGAACATACAATGTGTATAAATTCAATTAGAAATGGGCAAAAAGCCAAAAAAAATGCATAAGCTTAATAAATTTTCATAAATTACATTTGAAATAAAAATATTACCTTTGTATTGATTTATGTAGTCTTGACCATAGATGTTTAAAGTGCGGTATGGATTTACAGAAATACAGACTTCCCCAATATAGGTGTATATAAAACCAGAGTTGAATCTAATAAGAAAAATATATACTTATTAGGAAAGAAAATAGGTAGGTAGTTAATTTGCATAATAAATTAATAATTTTGTGGAATAAGATATTAAAATTAAAAAACTTAATTTAATAATTCACATAAGTTTCAAGAGTGAGCCAACAATAGATTGTATGCCAAATGCTGGGTCTTATATTAAAATAAGTAGGTAGTAAATACCCGGATAAGAATAAATTTTGATTAAGTGTAACCATCCAATTATTTCCAAAATAAATTTTTACAAAATGTAATTGGCTAGCACACAACTTTAATTTAACTTTTAAAGATACCTGAGTGTAAAGATAATATTATAATATATAAAATAGCTATAGGAATGTTGGGTACTTATTAGTTATTGTGACTACCTATAAAATTGTATGGTAAACTAAATACTGCAATTATACCACAGGTTAACATTACAATTATATTACATTATTTTAAGAACATTTTGTGATCTATAAGACAAAATAATATAAGTAGGTCTACCCAACAAGACTTAAAGTTTAAGGCATATAAAAGGGTTGTGCCACTAAAAACAAACAAATTTTCTGTAATGCGCGTTTTCATCTCTAAAATCTAATATTTTAGGTAAAGAAAATTGTTTGCAACTTTTCTATACAGTGTGTTTCCTTTTAAAGGTAACACTAAATAATTCTGTTCAGTGACATCGGATTAATATGCCGTTTTCAGGAGGGGATAGGGAATACATAAATACACATTTCTTAATGATTTTTACATTCTTAGATCTTTCCGTGTGCGCATGCGCGATACAACTTGCATTTTTTTAAATGGCAACAGGTGTTTTGAATACCAAATTCGGTAAGACCGAATTTTTTAAGTCCATTTGGTCCTTTTTACCATAGCTCTTAAATCAAAATTGACTAAATGGCAACCAGTCAAAGTTTCGATTAAAATTATTGAATTTTTCACCAATTATACTAGAATTTTATGAATTATTATGAAATTTTATTTATTATTTTTGTATCCGTAGGTTTGCAGATATTATTAAATCGTAAATAAATAATAAATAAAATATCATAATAATTCATAAAATTCTAGTAATATGATTGGTGAAAAATTCAATAACTTTAATCGAAACTTTGACTGGTTGCCATTTAGTCAATTTTGATTTAAGAGCTATGGTAAAAAGGACCAAATGGACTTAAAAAAATTCGGTCTATCCGAATTTGGTATTCAAAACACCTGTTGCCATTTAAAAAAATGCAAGTTGTATTGCGCATGCGCACACGGAAAGATCTAAAAATGTAAAAATCATTAAGAAATGTGTATTTATGTATTCCCTATCCCCTCCTGAAAACCGCATATTAATCCGATGTCACTGGACAGAATTATTTAGTGTTACCTTTAAAAGGAAACACACTGTATAGTGATGAGGGTCACAAATCAAAATAATACTTAAGAGACAGATATTTTGATGTGCAATGTAAAATTCTGTAAAAAAAAAAGTAAATAGTCTATGCATGTTGCAAGGAATTGGGTTGTTGGCATATGCTAACAATTTAAGTTTTGTTGGGTAGACTACTTATATTATTTGGTATTGTAGATTACAGAATTATTTTAATATAATATAACGCAGTGTTTATCTGCGGTAGTCCCAATAACAGAATATTGAGTTTAGTGAAAAATTGTATAGGAAGTCACGATAACCAATAAGTACAAAATGTTCTTTTAATTAAAGTAAAGCAAATTGTTCAAGTGTGTGTGTATTATAATGTTAAACTTTAACTCCATAATTTATTTATTTTTTGGCTTACTTCCAGTAGTTGGATAGCCATGTAAAAAAGCACAGAGTTAATTTTTATAAAGGACTTTTATTAAAATAAAAATCAATCAAATTAAAACTACATTTTTTTCAAAGCCTCCATTTTACATAATTATAGTAAAAATAAATGTTAGGTTCTATAGAAAACATAAAAACATATATGTATATTTTTTAATTAACCTTTAGACGAGACTTTAATCCTTATACATTATTTGTATAAAGTATATAGGTAGATACTAGATACTGTAAAATAGTGGGTTAGAATTTTAGAAATGAATTGCTTTATGTATTTGTAAAGGCAATTTTGTACTTAATAACTGAAATAAATAGAAGGATTGAAATAAAAAGTTTTGGAAATCGTATGTTTGATGATTGAATAAGATTTATTCAGGGATTTGTTATCATCAGTCCATTAGGCTCTTATTCAAATGTATACCTAACTATTATTGCTGTATTATTATTGTTGAATACAAATATAAAAATACATGATACATTCTTCAAGATTCTCATAATAATATAAAATAATTGTTCATTTAAATGTAACAGAAACAAATATTAATATGTTAATGGGTAAATAGGAATCCAAAAATTACCTAACAATACTTTTTCAATTTTGTTGTTTTATAAATATAGCTGACACGGCAATGAGTTGCTGTTCCTAGATTTTTGTGATCATGAGAGCAGTATATCATCAGGTAGGCAATCTACCTGCTGTTAATCGTAGACCCCGAGTGGTGCATACTTATAAGTGAATAATTTAACTCTAAAGTATCAAAAAATGCAAATAATTGGTCCACTGAAACCGAGGTTCAAACTCTATACACTCTGTACTAAAATACACAGACTTATTGCATTAATAATAATTATTATTATTAAAACCAATAGCAAGCATTTACAAACAAAAATAATAGATAATAATAATAATAATCCCAAAATCTTTGTTTGAGTACATCCCTGGGTTGGACCTCTTATTTACCTTTTTTTTGCGACAAAATGTAAACTATCTTTATACCCAAAGTCTAATCTATCTCTGTACCAAATTTCATTGCAACGGTTTAGAAATGCATAAAGGACACAGTTAGTCAATCGCAAACATTTTTTGACTTTTGCATATTATACCGATAGATAGATACAGGGGCGCCCGCAGAGAAGGGCCAGTTTTTAAGAACAAAAAAACAGTGTATAATAATGTAAATATGTGACTACCTATGTATAACATAAATTTAATTTTGCACCCACTTAGCTGATTTTCTGCGGGCACCCCTGGATAGATAGATACATATTAGGTATATACATAATATGTCATATACCTATAGGCTATAATATAAATACAATCTATTTTTGTTTATTTTGTATAGTACCTAAGCCATGGGCGTTCTCACGGGGGGGGATATGGGGGATAGATCCCCCCCAAGGTTCTTTATTTTTTTACATATTAGTAATACGCGTTTTGTCTACTTTTGATATGTGTTTGTGTTTTCAATATTGACTTGGTAGTTAGTATTTTATTTTTTTTTTGCTATTTTTCTTTATCGTGATTGTTGATTCCACCAGCCATAAACAGTATTATTATTTATCACTGATAATTATAACATATAATAGGTAATTCGCTTTACAATTGATTTGTACTGTATTTTTGTAAACAATCACTCCGTCAACTTTACCCATTCCCAGCGTCAGAAAAAATGTAAAGGTAAGATACACAATGATAACACCACAGTGATAAAATAAAATAAATAATTTAAACCAGGGATGGAAAATGTTTTTAAAAAACGTTAGTAAACGGAAAAAAAACAAAACAATTTATAAAACAAAAACAAAAAACGATAACAAAAAATCCCAAAAACAGAAAAAAAATTAATTACGAAATCAAAAACGAAAATGCAAATAAATTATAGTATTATACATTATTATATTTATAACACGAAAAAAAAATGTTACTTAAGTATTTACTTTTTAATCTTTACCAACAATGCTCTATTAAAATTTAAAAACTAATTCATAACATTCTTTTATAGTTTAAATAAAAAGAACAATAAATATGACTTGAATTGATTATTTGATATTATCAACTATATTACTATCAACATTATTAGATTCTGAGCGGAGTGAGGGATCTATTGGTTTTTCAATATTGTTTATATTTATTTTTATTTTATCCTGCATACAAAATTTCTACCAGAAGGAGTTCTTCGCTTTTAACATATTATAGTATATCTTTTCTTTTAGCAAATTTTATCAAGATGGTACTTTAGAGAGGTAATTTTTCAATTTTCTCAATATTTATTTAATGACACATTAATTCTATTTCAATCTATTTCACCGACAAATTTCAAAAACCGCTAAAAATGTGATTTCAATTTGTAACACTTTGTTTATCACCGTAGAAACAAATAAAATAAAAATAATGATTTTAGTTATTTTATCGTAACTTATTATATTAATTCAACTTACAGGCTATAATAAAATACAATAACAATATAAAATATCCAGACTGACAAACCGTCTCCGCTCAGAATCGTTTTTCGTATACAATGATATGATATCATTGAATTCAAATTTAATACAATCCATTATACAGTGACCAACTATTGTAATCTACTGTACAGCAGAGTGACATCCACTTACCCGCTTTTTTAATATTCATTATTATAATATGGGAGTTGTGAGGCAAAACCCTTACGGATTATTTTGAAACCATTTTTTCATCCCCCTCCATTGAAATATCCTGAGAACGCCTCTGACCTAAGCATATTTTATGATCTTTAAGTATATTAGTATATTAATTGATAATATATAATGTAAATAAACAATTTATTACTATGAAAATAATAAACAGTAAGGTATAGAAATAAAACTAAAATATTATGTGTATACATAAATATTAAATAGGTAGCTGAGTATATAGTTAAATGTGTAAGTAGTGTAACTTATAAAATTATAAATGTTGATTAAATAAGAATCCATTTGAAAGTAGAAATTAGCTTTGGATACACTTCATCCATAGTTGTTTAGAGATAGTGTAAATGGCACAAATGTATAAAATATTTTGATTAGCTTTCATTGCAGACGATTGTTCTAATATGGGCATGGTGCATAGCTAGAAAAGAAAAAAAAACCAGTTGTTGACATTGACTGCTAAGAGGATATGTATCAAATTAAACATTAGAATATTCTATATTCTACTGTTTAATTTGATACTTCAATGGAGCACATTAAAATATAAAATATTAAGCCATGTAGATAAATAGAAGTATACAATTTCATTTTAAATATAATTATTTTGTCTCAGGTCAGGCATTAATAGATACATATACAATAATATTCAAACAATTTTGTCGGAATTTACAACTAACTATACAATCATATAGGTATCTCCTAATCATTTTAATTTAAATGACCTAATAGCATTTATCTCATAAACTTTTTTTAATTCAGAAATTGTTTTATACAGTGAAAATAATTATCCTAATCTAAAAAGAAAAAATATATACAAATAAGCAGTATGTATTAATGATCCCAATAAAATAAAAAATACTAATTAATATAACAATGAGTACCTATAATAAAATTAAATAGTTTCTATCTAAGGTTATCACTTATCACAGTTCCATAATACAGATATTTTGTAAATTAGGTACCTAATAGTTTCATATTTTATTATTTTTGTTGTTTGAAAGTAATTTGTTCAATTATTGCCACCAACCTATTTGTGTATTGATTCATGACCTTAGAAAGGGTAAAACAAATCTTGGATTAGTGTTGTTTTTAGTATTGTATGTTTAGAATAATACACATAAATATTGGAAACAGGAATATAGGATTATCCAAATTAAGTTTACTGTATTTAGTACCCATACTTATTAATTGTTATTTGTATTCTACAGTGTCATAGTTATATCAATTCATTTTTTTTTTTAGAGACCAGTATGAACTATAAATTGTATTATGATTATTGTGCAGTACAGTACATAATATACTTATTAAATTAACTGCTAAATTACTTATTTTCAAATCAAAACATAATATCTACATTAAAAAATTGTTAGGCGGAGAAAAAACCCATGGAAAAAAACTCAAAAATATAAAATTAATATAAATATAAATATGAACACATATATACGAAACTCCTGATTACTTATTACCATGTACCTATGACAAAATATAATAATATATTATAATGAAAATAATAATTAATTGTTAATTGTATAAAATATAGATTGTAAATAACATTAAAATATAATTATGAACACAATATTATGTATACCGTATATGCCACGATATATTGTGTTACAAGTTATAAGTCACAAAACATTAGTCTTAGGTAGATATTAGGTGATATACATACCAAAATATTATCTGTTATCTAAATATATTATACTACCACTTGTTTTGTATTAAGTATTATTATATTATTATTTATATAGTTATGTAATTTTTGTAAACATTTTAGTATGTATATACCTAAGACTGATATTTTTTTGAATTTTAACTTATATGTTATAACATAATAATACATAATATTATATCATGACTTATACATAATATTGTGTTCATATTTATATTTCTGGACATTTTTTTCCATGTGCTTTTTTCCTTATTGTGTTTATTTTTTCCACGATTCTAAATAATTATTATCAATACATTTTGGAATTATTAATTCAAATTTTTTTTTTAAAGTATGTTCTTAAAGAGTAGGTACCATATTGGTACCTAGATAATAGTAACAAGAAGACAAATAAATAATACCATATTTATTGTAAATTATTTAAAATCCCCACACACTGCAGTGGTGGTGGTGGTGGTGTTAAATTCTATTGTCTTGGCTTCACCGCTGAGGTGAGCCGTGAGCGGTGAAATGTGTCCTACAGCAATTCACCACCACCGCTGCAGTGTGTGGGGACCTTTACAGGTATAAGTTATACCGTATAACCACAGTTTTTGTGAAAAATGTCATATAATCTGTGGTATAACTGCAAAGCAATTATTAGGTATCCTGGAATTACCAATTTAAAACGAATGGTTTTATGGTTAAGAAAATAAGAATTCCAATTTTCGATTTGTATTTTATATTACATAGCACATAAAAACATTCTCAATTTTTAATTAATTTTAAAAGTTTTAATATATATTTAATGTATTAGAAATGAAGAATATTAGGCTAGGTACAACTAAATCCAAGGTAAAATACTTGGTGTAAAATTCAGAATAAATAAATGTTAATAAACTAATGTGTAAAATGATGATATGTGATGTTTAAAAATAGAATAATCATATTTATAAAATTATAAAGTATAGAAGCAGAATTTTGTTTTCCAACTATCTTGTTATTATTATGTTAACCTATTAAATTAAAAAATAAAAGTAGGTAGCTACCTACTTAAATTGTATTGTTATAAATTATAATGATATGCATTAATACATAAAACATAATAAGTTTACCTATCTACATACATTTTGGAATAATTGAATATTAAATATGTAATGTGCAAGTCCACAAATAATGCATTTATGTTAAGATTATAGTACAATATTCTCTCACTAATGACTAATAAAATCCAACATAGTTAAATGATAAATATGGTTGGCTGTATCTTTTTGATTAGTGAACAATTATAAAACATAATTTTTTAGTGCTCATAACAAGACTACAGACGTTTCAAATAAATATTATATTATATTATGTTAATAACAAAAAATATTTCGTTTGTGCATTAGATAGGTAGTTTATTTTTGTTAAAAAACAATCGAAAAAAGACTATAAGTACCTATGACATAATATTTATTCTTATAATTAATTACTATCAGTAAGAAACTAATGATAATAATTAATAATATGTAATGTACTACCGAGGTAATTACTGTTGAAACGACTGTTTAAAATTAGTCTCAACTCTCAAGTGAAATGTATAAAAATATTTCCGTCAAGTGCAAAGTGTAGTCATCGTTACATGCACATAGAATGAGAATATTATGAGATTCAAGGATTGATTCGTCATAATATCTCAAGCAGTAGGGCTATACCTATATAGTAAGAGTGCAATACGTAGGCATAATATTATTATTTTTCAATTAGAAAACCTTATAAGCTCCGACGACGTAGGAATTTTAATAGTTATAATACCGTAATACTTCTACCGCTGTGTGCATACACAATACGCCTAATATATGTATATTGTAATGTATGTATGACATCATCGTAGTAATTATTCAATGACACACTACACAATGTCTGTGCTGCATTATGACTTACGATATATTAAAAATAATAATAATAATAATATATATTATAATATATATTATATTATTTTATTATTATAGTTTCATTATTAATTATTAGTCACGATTAGTCGACACCCGACGGCCTTATCTGGCCAAATATTAACCGCGGATTCCGTCGGCGTTCAGAAGGAAATTCAAAAATTATCTTAAAATTGTCAAGGACACTGCGTCGATTGGACGGGGCTGACCAATCGCGCGAGCGGGTGTACAGCGGCGCACACGACCGCGGGTGGAGGGTAGTTTTTGAACGGATAACGGCATAACCACAGTCAACGGATAAATTATCAACCATAATAATAATATTATCATTATCAATGACAGTTTTCTTCTCGTTTAAAATGTTTAAATCTCTTGGCGGGGAGAAATCATATATTATGCTCAATGCTCATTTAACGATCTACACTTACCTCAACGTCAGGTTTTCCATGAATCCCTCGATCGTGATCTCGTCCAGCAGGACAAAATCCACGATTCCCGGTTCGTCTCTGGTGGCCATGGTGATATTATTATCTTCTCGTGTGGTGACGATACGCTGTGTCGGTATTTTAGTACTATATATTTATCGCGGATTCTATGGAGTATGGACACATATTTATTTCGGGTGGGAAATGTCGGGACGACGATGTCGCAGGCCCGGGAGAAACGACAGCGCAAATTGATATTATGGTCGTCGGCACACGAATAGATGAGGAACGCTACTGCCGTCTGCCTACAGCCCACTACACTGAAACAGTGTATAACTACAACAGTACAAGTGTCATAGATAAAAGATAAGTGTACAACGGCACAGCGCTAGTACACTACTAGGTTACTACGCTACTACGGCACTACGCTACTCGCTACTGCCTACTACGCTACTAGTTAGTCGTTACTAAATATTTTTTTAGTCGAACACACGCCACACGGCGACTGGAAACTGTGGAAAGTGGGAAGAGGCGACCGCGATCTTGTGGGTGGCGGTGACAGTGCATCCGATACAACAGACGCGAAATTATCGTTAGCCGCGTTATTCGGCTCTCTATTGTATCGTGGTTTCCGTGGACGCCATAATATTTACCATTATTCTCGTAATTCGTAGTCTTTTGGGACTTCGAAGACCGAAGATATTACCCGTGGGCCGTGAAGACACAGACCATCGCTCAACGCTCATCATAGTTTAACTTTTGGATCGTAGATTCACACGGCTCATGGTAAAATTCACATAAGACATAAGTGCATAACATCACGAACCAATATATAAACAACTATATAGCTACCAGCTGCAGACGGCAATAAAGTTTTTTGTTTTACCGATTTACCACCCAGCGAGCAACTACAATAATGTCAGACGCAATTTATATTTCGCTGTAGGCTCACAACGTGTCATTATCATTATTGTTATTGTTATTATTATCATGTTAGAGCCTTAAAGAGCAGCTGCCGTCTTTTTACTCTTTAGTAAAATATTACAAAATATAAAACAGTCGAGTCGCCAACCGTTATACTTTTATTTTTCAAATATTAAGGATCTCATAATATTATTAATAATACATTATATTTTAATTTGTCACGGTCACCCGTGCGTCATCTAATTATAATTACTTACTATTAATGGTATGTACTATTATTATAAATTACAGATCGGAAAAATTGTAAATTAAGAAAAAAAAGTATAATTTATTGTAGATCACTGAAAATGATTTTCCGCGGCAATCGTAGTATTCAAACAATTATTGATTCAACAGTAGTTATGAAGATAGATTTTCTGTTTTCCGCTGTGTAAACACGCGGCTGCTTAATGTTCCGGTGATAATCACGAGTTGACAGTTGACCTACCTTTGGCGGAGATGCGATATAATCCATATTCCGTTTCGAAGAAGCGATAACAACAATCTCGAGAATTCTCTTCCCGGAAGAACACTACGATCTATATAACACTCATAGACCTATACAATATATATAGGTCTATGATGGCGAATATGACGCTATTCGGCCGTTTTTAAGTTTATCTAACACGAATACACGATTGGTGTGAAGTGTGTTGATACGAAATAATGTATACCTTGCGTCCTTGCATATTATATACCTTAACTTTGAGTTATATGCAATCTTGCACGTCGAATAACATAACTATGTGACTTTTGGGCAATGGGCCTAGATAATGAAATAGTTAAATTTAAATAGTTGAAATTAAGATTAAGGTTGTTATTATTAGAAAATATTGATACACGTTTTATAGATACAGCTATTAGATTATTGCAAAGTAAACACAACAATAAATTTCACTTATATGTCGTAGATACTAGATACTCTTATTAAGTTATTTAAACTTTATAGGTACGATAAACAATACTTTTGATAGTAAAACTTTTGGTTTACTATAATCGTTTGGTATAGACTATAGACTATAATAATCTACAGTGCCACCGTGGTTTACAATTTACAGCTGTAATTATAAGTTCAGACACCAAGAATGAGTGTTATTACCTGCTTATATAGCTGATAATTATTATTTATTTTTAGTAACAGAAATGAACTATATATAAAGTTATAGACCAAAGGATATTCTCTTAATAGTCCTGAACATAAAATATTTTGCTATAGGCTTAAGGCGGGTTTCCACTATACACGTTGGCCGTGTACACGAAAAATGTTCAGCTATGTACAACAACACGGTATCGTGGTTAATCGTGTGGTAACTTAACCTAACCAACCAATCACAGCAAAGGATTTATATGCACGTACACATGTACGACGTACGTGTATAGTGGAAACCCGCCTATATGCAAAATTGCAAGACAGTTCTGCAGTGACAACACCTGAGGGTACAACTTCACCAAGCCCAAAAACCAATATATTTATAATTTTTATCATTGTTCCATAGAAAAGTTCCATAAGATATAAAATATATATTCAACTTTTAATTTTGTTTTCAGTTTTTAATTTTTATTGTAAACAATATACCAACAAACTACAAAGTAGCAATTCTGTATAGCTTATTGGAAATCCAGACACGTCAGCAAATAACACTACCTAGTATAGATAAATCTACATAATTTTTATTTTTTTACATCATTAGTCATGTAACTATAGTTTGAAATTCGTACGAGTTCCTGCACTGGATGAAACAATATTATATTGATATGGAGTACCTAATGACTACAACCTACATGATTATTTGTTAAAATCGAAAAACTTTATTTAGTTTACTAGGTAGTAGGTACTTTGTGAAAAAAATATTTTTGGAACCTACATATCTTGAATATTTGAACTATTTTGAAAACGAAAATTATATAACTGTTACCCATAAATTTTTTATTTTTTCTTAAATACGTGAAGTAGTGCTTAGGTATATATTATGTATTTGTGTGTGTATTCTGTATTCTAATAGCTACGGCGTGGCGTAATTTCAGTTTTTATTAGACTAGGGCAACTTTTCACTGCTTTTCCTACTCAACATTTTTTTCACTCAGATTCTCATAGCATAGTGCCATAGCGGTTAAAGGAGGGGGGTGGTGTTGGTAAATGTTCCGACTTGAGGTTGATGTAAATACTAGACTGGGGCAAATGCCCCAGTTGCCACACCCCAAATGACGCCACTAAGCTCTGGTACAGTGGCACAAAATTAAGCTTGGTATAAAATCTTGGCACCTTGCCAATTCAATTAATTATGGAAAATTATAATACCTATTTATAAAACTTAATTATAATAAAGTAATTATTTCAATTCCCATCTTTACACTGACAACTGGGATTTGATATAATATGAAGCGTATATAATTTCCATTCGATTTCTATATAATGATACAAATGAAATACCTACGTTAATCGCTAATGGAATTATCCAAAAACCTTCTCATTGTCCTGTAATATTTTAGAATTTAGGGTATAAATTATTTGTCATTCTGATAGTTTTTAACTATAAGTTTTATTAGACATTTAAATATATTATGAACAAATTAAAAATATTTTAAAAAAATATATTACTCCCGCGATAAGTTCCTGGTCTTGGATTCCAGGAATTTTCACATCACTATAATTGTTCATTGTATGTTATGTCCAAATTTATTTACACAAATTATGTTGTATACCAAAATTATACTTATGCTTTGTAGTTTGTATAGTGCTTTAATTCTCCAATGCCGTAGGTATGAAATAATTATGTACTTACCTATAGTATATAGTCGATTGTTGATGTTTTGTTGAAATTAATTTTTATATTTTCAATGTTTTATTGTTGTCAATAATTACGTGCGTACGGCGTACCTAGTAGGTACTACCTATATGGAAAATTAAAAATACATATATGTATCTTATATAATATATTATACTTATCCTAATTGACAGAATAATTGACTACCTATACATATAACACATTATGTACCTATATATAAGTATATTGTAATACATAGGTATGGAATAATATGGCACTTATACCTATTGGCTAATTTAACAATATAATATCAAATACAAATGAGAGTAAACAGCAGTAGTTATAATGAGTAGGTAGGTACTAATATTATTATAAAATATAATATATAATAGCTATACTACTTATACTACCTACTGAGTCACTGAGAAATAATACGAGTGTAGAAAATGGATCCATATTCCATAATAACATTTCAACATTTGATGTATTTTCTTCAGAAATATTATTATATTTAATATTTGGCCATAATATAGACCCGTATTAAGTAGAATTATTATTTATTGATATTCTATTTGTATAGACATACAATATACAGTTTATATAGTAAATCGTAAAATATTACCTACCTATATTCATCAATCTAACATCTATACACAATTGTATACCTACCTATAATTACCTTTGATTATACATAGTATACTACCTAGTACCTACTATAGTGTAATAAACTATATTGCATAAGTACCTAACTGCTGTTATTTTTAAATAAAACATAAAAGTCAATAGTGAAAAACAGTATTTACTAATTACTATTTACAGTATTATATACAAATACAATATAATATTTAATAATACCCAGCCTAAAATAGTAAAATACCTAGGTAATTAATAGTTATATAATAAATTGCGAGTTGTAACCTAGTTAACCATAACTATAATACTTAAAAATCAATGAATTGAAAATAGTGAAAATACACAAATTCATTCACATTTGTTGTAGGTAATATAGACTTGCATTTTATATTAACTTTGAATAACATTAATTTAATGAATTATTCTATAAGACCAAACATAATAATATTAAATATAATATTATAATAATTATTAATAAACAATAGTTGTCAATAGTTTAATACGTCTATGGTCTAAAGACTATAATACGAGTTTCATTGGATTTATAATTTTATTATATTTATTCATTGGCCAAACTACTCACCAGGCCCTATTATTTGTAAAATTTCGGACTGCAAATTTCATTTTATTCTAGCTACCGTCATAGAAAAAGGAATGTATTACATTTATATATTATATGTATATAATAATTTAACAATGCAATTCAATAAAACAACAAAATACTTATCTTT